GAGTCGCTGTCGTTGACTTGCTTCCAGGCTCGGTAGGCGGCGTGTCTGTCGTGGCTGGTTTGGTCGAGTTACTGTTGACCTCCCGCTGCAGCGGAGAGGCATGGGAGGGGGAGTTGCTCTTCTTGCTCTGCGCGTCTCCGCCACGGTTTGAGTTGCGAGGGGAAACTCTGCCAGTCTGTGCATCACGCTTGTCAGTGGTTAGCAATTTGTTGAAGCTGGGCGCTTGGTCAGGGCTCGACATACCTGTTTGGCCCATCTTAGACCGCAGCTGTTGCAGAGATCTCTCTGCCCGCTCGGTCCTCTCCGCCACTCGGGCGTGTTGCGTGTGTGGCAATTGGCACAGTCTCTAACCATGTTGCCGCCGCCCTTTCTCCTCTTACGCTTCTTCCTGTTGGACAGCAGCTGAGCCAGCTCTTCGGCTAATAAGCGGTTGACCTTTTCCATTTGTCGCAGCTCGTACTGCCAGCTGGTACATCTCGTGGTCTTGAGCTCATCAAAGATGTTGTCATCCGATGCAAGAGCGATATCTTGAGTTCCACCTATTAGCTGACCTGCAGGTTGAGAGATAAGGGCACCCTCAGTGCTGATCGTCTTGGTGTGACCCATCACGATGCCGGTCATTTGTTGTCCATCGTCGGATACGCTCGCCACCGACGCACCAGTCTTGCCAGCAGGAGCAATCGCGCGAGAAGAGGCCTTGAGTAGTTTCGTCTGAGCCAGCAAAAATGTAGGCTTCTGACCCTCTTCGGCATCCCCAGGGTAGAAGGTCGTGTGCGCTTGCAAAACCTGGCCTCGCTTGTTCTGAATCTCGTGCTTGCAGCTGGCGATTTTGCCTCTCCTCGACTTTTCAATAGTCCGACCAAACTCCACCCGAGACTCTTTCCGCATGAGATCTTGCATGCTGGTTCCTTCGAGATCTTTGCGCTCGAGATCCAACAACGAGCGCACATTTGACGCAACGTACAAGAACATACCCGAGGTTGAGACCTTGGACCAGATCTCGCTGTCGCCGATACCTCCATGTTGATCCAGGTTCCGTTTTGATAGCGCAAAGATTGGACGCTTTCTGCCCACCAGAATGATACACTTGCGGCCCTTGCCCTGCTCGGAGAACAGAGTGCCGTGGCTCTCGAACCAGGTGTAGCCGCTATTTTTCCGTCGTATCCTGAATACGATGTTGACTGGTACATTTGCCTGTGCCTCCTTGAGCTCTCGCGTAACGGGAACAATGTCTGACGGGTGGCAGATGGATGCCAGCGAGTTTCCCATCAAGTCGTTGGTGTCGTACTCGAGAATCTTCTTGCACGACGGTGATAAGTAAAGGAACAGGCCCTTAAGTGAGAGCACATGCACAACGTCATCCGCATTCTCCAGCAACATCTTGTCCCATGACTGCCTGTGCCAATCTGACACGGCCCCCTTGGGGTTGAACTGCTGCAAAAGAGAAGATACGTCATCGATGGCCAGCGTCTGGCCGTTTTCGGGCTCCCATTGCGTCGAGCTTGGAGGAGTCCAGATGTATTGGCCAATATCGCTGTGGACGTAATTGACGTGCATGGCACCCCCTGACTCCTGTCCTGATATCGCATCGGGGCACTCGACCAGGTCGATCTGAAAGCCGATAAAGTACCGTATCGTGTTGGGGTCATCCCACGGGATGGGAATCATGGTGAGGAGGTTCAGGAAGGGCTTGCCGCCCTTCCGATAGTTGATAAGACTTTGCTGAATCTCGCGGCCTTCAGCAATGGCGTTCTTGAGCTTGAAGACGGCGTGGTTCTCGACAAACTCTCGCTTTGTGCCCGCCTCGACCTTACCAGTGGGACTTTGGAGGAAGCGGCAGTTTTGTCCCACAATCTCGTGGCGAACGTAGCCCGTCAGGTTCTGGAAGTTATCCGACACGTAAATGATAGGGCAGTCTTGTAACTCAACATCGCACACGACGAAAGCACAAGACATGTCCACAGCACCAATTTGAAGCTGTGCGTTTTTCCGCGTTGCCACGTACCACAGGGCCCGGAGCATGTCAAATCCGCTCTTGGAATATATGCTCTTTTCTTTGGAAGCATGTAGGCTGTCTGGGAGTGCCGGACCAACCGTGGTGGCTGGTGTTTGAGGGGTCGACACTGTCGCTACAGCACTGGGTTGAGCAGCACCCATCCCGGACAAGGTGTGACTGGTTCCTGACGCTGGCGAGCGGTAGGCTGTAGTGCCTGAAATCTCGCGTGTTAATGGCGGTGGCATGCTAGGCTGGAATTGGTTCATCTGAGATTCCAACGTCAGATTATGCGGTCTCTGCTGAGGGCGATTGCCAAATGCGTCTTCCACGCCCGACATGTCGTCGCTCGTCAAAGTCAAAGGGGTGGTACCCATTCCCATGTCCATTGAAAAGTCAGGCGTAACCGAATCCATAGTCGTGGGAGGGTACTGGTGACCGAGGCCGGGCGAGTTAAAGAGGTTGAGTGAGGCAGGGTCGGTTCCCATCGCCTCCATGTTTAGACTTGAAAAGGCCATCATGTTGCCCATAATGTCGGGTGAAAGCGAAGCGAAGTCGTTTTGGTCCGACATGGCCATGAGTCCAGGCTGTGAATAGGGGCCAGAGCTCCCTGGCATGCTCGTCGGCATAGCTCCGAACCCCGCCATTTGAGGCGAATTCATATTTCCAAACTGGAAGTCCTGGTAATGGTCCGGGCTCCCAAAATCCATCATGGACAGGCGGCGATCCGTATCGGTTGTGAGCATGGCGCCGCCCTGAAAGGACTGAGGTATGCTTCTCCTCCTCCGTTGAAGCTCATTATTGTTCTGACGGACAATCTCGTCCAGTGAGTCCGACACACCGGACAGGCCCGTCGTACTGATCATGCCCAGGTTCCGGCCGGCGTTTTGCTGCTGACCTCGGCGCTGAGCCTCCTCCTGGGCGAGCTGAGTCGTGTAAAAATTGTTGTTGTTCATGGCGACCACGTTAGTATCACTAGCGGGCGCGCGATGGAGTGTGCGTATCTGAACGTGGTGCGGGTGGTGGTGCGTGTGTGTGCGTGTGTGTGACCGGGAAGCCAAGTCTGTCCCTCAACAATCAGGTAACCTAGCTATCATTGCCCCATCGAAGGACGGGGCGGCCTTGACGTCTCTCTATCGGACCAGATGGGCGGCGGCATCGAACTACTGCCAAGGGAGGGGGGGCGGGGGGGGCGGCGGCAGCTACCGGGGAGAGTGACCCGAGGCGGTCTGGATTTGGCGTAGGGCTCCGAAACGCAAGCAACGACGATAGAGAGAGAAAAATACGGTAGTGGCGGTCTATTTGTCAACTATCAGCTCCCGGACTCCCCGACGTTCTCATTGAGCCCAACGAGCATATGCCATCTGCGGCAGCACTATGACAGAGGGGGAAGGGGAAAAGAAACAAAAAAGCAAAGTTGGCAGTGATGGTGGAGGAATATGCGGACGGTAGAGATCGAACGTTACACACCCGTTTTCGAGATGCCCAAAGCAGGGTTTAGGTATAGAGACAGGGACAAGGAGAGGATGCGGACGAGAATGGGAAATGCTGGGTTAAGGTAAGGTAAGTCGACGTGGAGACAGACAGGCAGAAGCAGATGGACGATGTCGTCCGAGGTTTGGCGCCGTTGTTGCTGCTGGTTGCGTGTGAAAGCGGTCCGCCGGGGCGTTGGTGCCAGGTCCCACGACACGCGAGGCGAGGCAGCTATTCGACGACGAGAGTGTGCGATGCAGATGGGCGGGCGGCGGCAGGCGGACGAGGACGTCGGACGTCGTCGGGATGCGGTTGATGATAAAGGTGCAGTAGTGAGTGGAAAGTTGACTCTTTGCAGCGCACAACGGGGTTAGAGTCCCCGGATGTTCCTCCCCCCCGGTTCCCGTCCTTCCTTAAACCCACCCGCTGGCAGCATTCCTAAGCGGGCAGAGCGGGGCCACCCAGGGCACACCGGCGGCCGTGGGGATTCACAAGTCCCCGTCCGAGCCCAATCAGACCATTCAGATGCTGCCCAGAGAGAGGGGATAACTGGAGAACACGCCACTCAAACCCCCTTACGTAAGCCTGCCGGAGAGACACCCCACTCTTGTGTAGCCCGTCCGTCTCAAGGGCTTCATTGGCTGAATGAAACAATGGATGCGCTTTTCAGAGTTGCTGATGGAAGATGCTCAGCATTTCCATCCATCATCCCATTCCCCGACATATGCAATGCCAGTCGCCCATAGGTCATAGGTCCCCATGCTCAGTCTCCGGCTCCCCGCGCCGCAGCAGACAATGCCATGCCGCTGTGGCAAATGCCATCCCAATGATCCCCATCCCAATCTGTCATCTCACATTTCTCCATCATCCCAAGCCACACGCCCATACCCATCCGGCCCATGGTCCGTCCATATGTCGACAGTTCGATTGATCTAGATCCATTGCCGCCACTCTTCAAAACTGTCTCTCTCGCTTTCTCTCGGCCGGGATGCAATCCGACCTACACAATTCCCGTGTCAGCTTCCATGTCCGGCGTTGGCGAACCCCTATTGTGTCCGCTTTCGAGCCCGATGACGTGTGAAGTCATACAAAGCCGTTCGACCCTGCCAAGGCATTGCGGGCTGAGAAGGACCCTTCATCACTTGCTCTGCTGGGACTCTGCCTGTTGGCCGAGAGACATGTGCATATACGATTACGCCCAAAGGGACCTAGGAATATATAACTGTTTTTTTTTGTTCGCTTCATGTTGATTCGCTCTGAGACATGTCGAAGCGGAAGCTTTACCTGGCTAATATGACATGTAACTCGTACACGCCAATGACCGATCGGACGAACAAACATGGTATCATGCCCGTGAACTCCAAAAAACTTCCTCCTCCGTCCCTGCCCCTTTTCTCAATCCCAACTATCCGACCCTCTCCTTCAGGGTCCCAAACTCCTATCCGCGGCCTGCCCTTACACGCGTGTCTTTGCCAAAGGACAGCTTCACTCGCAGGTACTGAGGTATCGCGTCCATCACTACCGGGCTTGGGAACTAACCGAAATGGGCGCGGATGGTTTGCTGAGCCTCGGGTGAGAACTGAGAGAGCAGTGGTGATGGGTCAGTGCCGGTGCCCTCCAAGAGAAGCTTGGTCGCTGCCACTACACGAGCCGCATTCTGCCCGCTCAGCGTCTCTCCCTCGAGAGCCTGTGCAACGTAGACGAAAATCTGTGCGGCCCGCCCGGGCGCGGCGATGGAAGCATGTTGCCTACAGGAAGCTGTTAGTCCAGAGTACCTTGTGAATCACATGACTCATGGGAAAAGCGGTAACTTACTTGCTAATCAAGTCGGCGAGATAGAGATAGCCATATGGCGCTGCTTCCTCGTCGTTGCAGATGGGGAGGTAATTTATCCACTGATCAATGATTTGGTTGGCGTTTGGCACTGCCGAGGCGTTGTAGTGCAGGATCTTCGCAATGGCAGCGCATGCGTTCTCGGTGGCGTAGACATTGTCTTCGTTCCGCGCATCAGGGACCTGCATGAGCTGGAACAAGTACTGCAGTGTTCCGGCCAGGAACGTGGCCCACTGCTCACCACCATGACGAGCAGCCACACCGATGCCATAAGCCGCAGCCTGGCGGATAGCCGGCGAGGGGTCCTGGCAACCACGCACGAGCGCCTCGCTAATCATAGGAGCATAGTTGCCACTGCGGGCACCGCAGTACTCAAGGACGTCGTCCATAATGCAAAGGCCCCATTGACGCTGCGTTGGGTCATCCGACTTGAGGAAACCTTGATATGTGTCGGCGAGACGCTCAAAGTAGGGGAGGAAGCTCTCGCCGTGGTGCTTGAAGACGCAGTGGAAGGCCTTGTTCATATCCGAGAGAAGAGTCTGGTCGTCCTCGATGGCCATCAAGAGTTCCTCAGCGTCATCCTCGGCATCGTCAGTACCACCAGCGCGGTGCTCCTCTTCGCGCTGAGCAACACGGTCCTTGTAGTCATCAAGGGTAGAAGTGACTGAATCGATAAACTTGCCCATGCGCTCAGGGCTAAGGCAGGGCCCACCGATAACCTCGACAGACTCGTAAAAGCACTGATACATCTCCGCCAAGGTATCGACAGCGGGCTCAGCGGAAAGAACTTCAAGGAGCTTGTCAATGGTCTTGTCCCACAAAAGCCTGAGCTGGTCCGAGGCGGGTCCATAGGCTTTCTGGACGCAGCTCAGAAGCTGTGGCACGAGCTTGGCAGAAACATATCTGACAGGATCATGGAAGAAGAATGCCAGGCCGGGGAGAGCGATCTTCTCCATGATCTGATCGGCATAGGGCGCAAACTCATCCTCAAGAACCTGGGCGTAAACAACCAGGAGCTCAATGGCCATATGTTTGTCCTCCATCGAGCTAGTTCTGATTCCAATCGTCTTTCCACGAAGAGGCACCAGCTCCCAGCCCTCTTCTTGCTGGAACTTCTCAACCTGATCCTCGTCGTCGAGAAGCTGAATGTCAGCCTTGGCGCTGGCCATCTCGAGAAGAGGAGGCATGACCTTGGGCAGACAAGGGAGGAAATTTTTGCCCATGACGCGGCACATTCTACCCCAGCAGTGCATAAGATACTGGGCCTGAGGGTCATCGGCCTCGGTAACATTGTCCTGGATGGATCCGAGAAGTTGGACAAGCATGGTGGCGTCGTTGCCCAAGCGCTGCTGGCCAACAGCGAGAGCAATGAGAGTCGCGCACTCCATAGCCTTTGCGCGAAGGAGGCGGTACTCCTTGTCGTTCTCGCGCTGCAATACGCTAACCAACATGGGCATCAGAGTATCGTAATATCTGGCAAACGCCTGCTCGGCCGCGTCGGCAATAGTGGCGATGGTCGAGAGTGCTTGCTCCTGCACGTACCGCTTCTCGTTCTGGAGGAGCTCATAGAGCTTGGTGAGGAGGCCGTCCAGGTACGGCTCCAAGACGCTCTTCTCGGCCTCTTCGCAAAAGTTGACCAAAGCGGCCGCAGCGTGCGACTTGACTCTAGCCTCGGGCGAGTCCAAGACTGGCACGATAGCGGTCAGAACAACATCGTAAAATTCCTGTTGCATCTTTGGCGCAAAGTCAGTGCTCATCTGGCCCAGAGCATTGCACCCGGCCCATCGGACACGAGGATGGGGGTCCTTCAGGGCCGGAACAACGAGCTTCAAAACCTGCTCGAGTTCCCCAATCATCTGGTCGCGACAGCCTTCCGAGATGGCAGAAATGGCCATGAGAGCCGCGTGCCTGTCCCTCCAAGCAGGGGACTGCATCATGCGTGGGAGCCAGGCAAAGGTGGGCTGCAATACGACCATGCCTCCCATCTTGTTCGCCAAGCGGTCCATGCAGTGCTCTCCAGCTACGTGGTTGTTGTCACTTTCCTGGTCTTCAAGATCGTCGGCCCCAAGCCAATCAGCAGCATCATCGTCATCCTCGCCAATGTCGGTCATCAAACTGAGGCACTGAGTGATCATATCCTCGGTGTACTTGGGATCTTTTCTGCACATGGATGGGGCGTAATCAGCGAAAGTAGCCATGAGCTCCAATGCATTCTGTCTGCAAAGGTCACTAAGCTCCTTGTCTTGGATCACGGCGATGGAGAACTGGACGAGTCCGCTGAAGTTTGGCTTGAACATCTTGGGCGAGCTTTCGGCGAGGTCGATGAGGGCCACCAAACCTTTGCTCAAGTCGTCGGAATCTTGAGCTTGCTTGATTGGTGGCAGAATGTTGAGAATTTCGGGAAGGAGACCAAAGTACTTGGCCTGGTTCTTCCTGCTGAGGTTGCGGAAGAAGGAAGCGAAGGCCTCCATGGCGGCAAGGCGAACCTATTCATGTCAGTACAACAAACCCTCAACTATTTTCCAAACAGGACTTTCATACTGAAACTGATTCGTCCTTGAAGGCCTGGGCGAACACGCCAGCTACCTGCTCCTCATGCTGTCTCTCAATAATGCCGGGGGTAGTTGTGAACACTCGGAAGGCGGTTTCGCGCTTGCCAGCATCAGGGGCCTGGCTGAGCTGAAAGAGCACCTGCAGCAGGTCTGGCCAGGAATCGTCTACAAGCACGTTAGTGGTGGCGCAATTCAGGAGGAAAGGCAGGTCTAGACGAACTGCTATCGTAGTACTGTCTGGCAATCTCGGCAACCGCGTCACTGATCTTGTTCCGCACGTTCTTATCTGTCTCGGCAAGCAATGTCTTCAGAAGCTCGTTGCGGATGGCCTGGCAAGACACGGCTCCCAGGGAGATGAAGAGGTCAACATTTTCGGAGCTTGGTGTTTTGCGAGTTTTGGATGCTATGCGACGGAAGATGACAGCTGCAAATGTGCGAACCTAGGAAACAAGATATCAGCATGATGGCGTTGGTTCACAGGCAAACCAGAGAGGACGAGACGTACCGAGACATCAGGGGAGCTGCTGATCTGCTCGGCCAAGCCCATTAATAGGTATTCTGGCCGCTGGCTTGTCCACTGATTCTGCAGAACCTCCTCGGCTTGTGAGCGGACAATGTTGTCTGATGACTGAAGCTGCTGGAGTAGCTGGCCCAGTTGGGCGCTAACATCTGCGGGCAGAACAGAAGACATGATGTTGTCTGAATCTAAGTTGTATGAGCTGAGAGGCGCTCAAGGGGCCTGCCGATGCCGTCGTGCTCCAAAGTGGACGTCGTCTGTTTTAGTCAGGACACAACCAAACTGAGACGTCGAGTGAGCTTTGGGCTCCGGGTATGGAAGGACGCGTCGGCGGGATCGTCGCTACCTGGGGAGGAGGGGGGGCGCTAGGCTGGTCGTCTGGAATGTCGAGGGCGAGATGCTCTGTGGGAGACGCGTCGGGAGTGAAAAAGCGCGGCGGCTTGTTTAAGTGGGTAAATGTTGTTGACTCTCTGGGCGAGTCGTCGTGAGAGGGGGGTTTTGGTCTGTGAAGTGGGAGGGAGAGGGGAGTGCGACGATGGACAATAATTTTTTGATTGGGTCAGGGCTGTTGAGGAGTGGGGGAGGGGCAGTCGAGACAGCTGGCGGAGGGGAAATTTGGTGTTCGTGCAGTGCCAGCGGGTCCCGCAGTTCTATTCAGACAGAATCTCCCAGGGTAGTCTAATCTGTCTTGACAAGAGAGGATGACGGTCGAATGCAATATGTGAAGAGAGGGTTAATTTTGTGTTTGCAAAGCAAGGGAAAAAAGCACAAGCAACAGAGGGTTTTGAATGTTTACAAGCTTTAGTTCCGGGTGTGGCTCGTGTGTGTGGTTGTGGTAACCACCTTTGGTGTGGCTGAATGAAGGCGAAACTGAAATATGGTCGTCTGAGTGTGAACACGAGCAAATGGCGTGAACGCCTATCTCTCAACAACTGATGCCTGGCCAGCAGGAAAGATAAACATCTCTCCCGACGTGGCTTGTGTGTAGAAATCTGAAAATTTCATTCATCTCACTTCCATGGCTTAAAGTATGATAGGGCTGAGATTATAGGCCGGCTAGGCAGGTTGGTCACTTGTCACTCACTGCCCTTGCTTGAACTTTATGGTTGGGTGACAACGCATCCAGCTCGTTCCTGACATCCAATTCCATGGATGCCAGCTGTCAGATTTTCCATTTGCAGTGCACGCCGCCCAAACCACCAACGCCCTCCGGTTGCTTTTAGTTTTCACCTCCAGCTTCACAAAGGAAACATTTCCCACAATGATATCGGGAGCTCTGTTAGGTGGTGTCATTGGTGGGTGGGGCATATCTATCACCAACATAGTGTAGAGAGGAGTGTGCGATCTGCATGAGGTACAATCGGGACGATATGCCTGTATTTTGCATCCCAGACTTTGAACATGTTTACTCTCTCTGGAGATACTACAGCAACCGTTGCAGCGAGCCGGTGAACATGTCGATGGTACCGCCGGCGTCAAAGACAACCGTCAAGCTGGGCTGTTGGGCCAAGCGGTGATAACAGCGAAAGGTGATTCCGATAAGAAATATTGCGGGGTTGTAGGTTCATCAGGCCAGGGCTGGCCTGACATTCACAACAGGATATCTGGAACAGAGGAGGTGATGCCGGAATATACAGAAGCCCCAGCACAGCCTCCAAATATCGCCAGTTGTCTCTGAAAAGTATCCAGGTTGTCCAGCCAGGAGTCACCGTGTTGTTCCCCTCTGCTGCAGCATGGATCTGTGTATGATTCTGATGCTGACCCCGCATCGCCCTGGAGCTCCGTCATAGCACCCGTGCCACCCTTGTTCAAAGCGACCACCTCAACAGACAGTCAGAGACAACAACCACTCGTTGTTCCCCTCATTGACCACCCAACAGTGACCTGACCTGACCTACAGCTCTGACACAACTCTGAATCCCAAACTTTGGCATCTCAAATGAGCCCACCGTCGAGTCTTACATAAACCGAATCCTATCGAGAACTATCATCAGCTACCACCCACCATGGACATCCCTGGTGCTCAAGAGAGCGCTGCCAACAGCTCCAACAGCTCACTGGGCGCAACTCTCTCGACTTCCCAGACTGAGCGCAACAAATCTGGCCATATTACTGCTCATAGACAGAGCTTTGCCGAGGACCAGAGACGCCCTCCTCCTTCCCCTCGCAGCCATCGACACCCATCTCTCACCCAACAAGCCGTCCAAGAGCTTATGAACCACCCCCCAATCAACCGACACGCCAATCCCCAGTATGCCGGTAGGAACTGGCAGGAAATTGCAGTCGGGGAATTGGCTGTGGCAGATGATGTGAAGTGGACCGATCTTGACGAGAGTGTTCAGGATGCCACGCTGGTATGTTTCTTAGCTACTTACTCCAATGCGACCCAGCTACTCCATGCTGATCCCTCACCTCTCGGTAGACACTCCTCAAAAACCATCCCACCAATGCGGTCCTTGTACGAGAGACCCCCACATCAAAACGAGCCATCTCCACGTTTGACTACAGCGATCTGAACGCCTACTTATTGGTGGTGGTCGGGCTTGCGAAACCTGAGGAGGAGCAGATCGAGCTATACGACCACATCGCGAAGAGTGCCCAGGCCCAGACACCTGTAGCGCTCCGGGAGATCCAGCCTATTCTGAAGAAGAGCGAACTGGTAGCTTTGCCGGCCGAGGCAACTTTGGACGCGGCTGTGGAGGCTTTCGGAAGCGGCATCCATCGGTTACTGATTACCAACAGCGCTGGAGAGGTTATTGGAATTCTGAGCCAGCTCCGTCTGCTCGAGTTCTTCTGGAAGGAAGCGGTCAATTTTCCTGTTATTGACCGTCTGTACGGGAGCGTGCTGCGAGATCTTCAGATTGGTAGCACTCAGATCATTGCTGTCAAGTAAGTCGTCGTGGCATCACTTGCTAAGTTCCTGTTCCGGTTATCGGGCTAACTTGGGATCCTAGTGCCGATGGGCCTCTCGCTGATGCCCTTCTGTTGATGCACAACGAGGGCCTGACTTCGGTTGCAGTGGTCGATCAAGGCCTCAACGTGCTCGGGAATATTTCAACAGCAGATCTGAGGCTTTTGACCAGTACGAACAACCTGCCCCTTCTCAAGCGCTCGTGCATGCACTTCATCAGCGTTATCCTCAACGAGCGTGGCGTCGAACATGGCCGTGATTCTTTCCCGGTTTTTTACGTCAATCCTTACTCCACACTTGCGCACACAGTGGCCAAGCTCGTTGCGACAAGATCTCACCGGATGTGGGTTGTCGAGACAGCTTCACCTTCCCCTAGTGCTCCCGCTACACCGTTGCTCCAGCCGGTTCAGCTGGGAGTTACGGCTGCAACGGCTCCTCCACCTACGTCAGTCACCGGTGTTGGGTCGTCATCAAGCCCTGGCCCACAACCAACTGTTCTTGTTTCTTCGCAAACCCCCTCAGCGCCCCAATCGCCGCTGCCAGGACAGTCATTCCCTTCGGTGCCTTCTGCCAGCTTGCCTGGGGCACATGTTTCTGGGAGGTTGTCCGGGGTTGTCTCGCTGACAGATGTGCTGAATCTCTTTGCCAAATCGAGCGGGCTTCGGCCTTCGGATCCCTCGGAACAGAGGGCTCGGAGAAGACGGAGCTCGAGTGCATCTGTCCGGCCAAGTTTGGATGCGGGGAGAGGAAGCGTTGACTTTAGGAGGTAGTACATCTTTTATGGTGAAGCACGGAAAATACTGTCATTACTCAGCACGAGCCGCTCTCCTGTATTGTTGCATTGTGTTGGGAGGGGAAGAGAGTGGCATTTGCCTTTTTTGGAGGAAGAAAGGAGGGCATCATGACAGAATTCCTAATTATGCGAATCACACAAGTTTCATACTGTTCCTGGTAACGATGGCGAAAACAGACAGACCTATGATGATGATGACGGCATGGGCGGGACTCGTCTTGATAGCACAGAATCAATTGATATTAGAAGTTGGAAATAAAAAAACCTCATGAGTTTGGACTATACTAAAAACTTTGTGTCTCGAACCACTTTCGTCTCTCTACTCCTTATAATTCAACCCCCCACCAAAGCTAACCTCGCTGTTTTTGCCGGCGGTGGTGACCACCTCGCCTTCTGTCTTTCCGGTCTCAAAGGCGCAGCGTCCCATGTCTAGCTTTTTGACGGGGATGGCAGAGGGAGAGATGTCAAAGTCGAAGATGTCCATCGGCAGACCCAGGGTGGTGCAGGCGTTGGGGATGTCGACGATGCCGGCGACGTGGCCCTGGATGGGGGCGCAGGAGAGGAGGAGGTAGATTTGGTAGTCGGAGTAGCCGAAGCGGCGGAGGTATTCGATGCAGCGGAGGGTGGTCTGGCGATAGGCCACCGCCACGTCGAGGTAGTGTTGTTTGCCGTGTTGGTCAACGGAGAAGCCCTAGGTACCTAGGCGTTAGCAAGAGGGATGGGGAGGGGGAAAGGGGGGGGGTTACCTCAAAGTAAATGTACCTCCCTGGACCAAAATGGGGCTCTACCGGACCGGGGATGTAAATCGGGGATGTGAGAGAGAGCTGGGAAACGCCGGACTTGATGACGGAGAAGTTGATCGTGATTATCCCTGCCATCTCGATGGCGCCGCAAAAGGAGATCTCGCCGTCGCCTTGGGAGAAGTGGAGGTCGCCTACGGAGAAGTTGGCGCCGGGGACGTGGACGGGGAGGTAGACTTTTGAGCCGCGGGAGAGGTTTTTGATGTCGCAGTTGCCGCCGTGCTCGGGGCGGCCGGGGATTGTGCGGGCGCCTTGGAGGCCGACTTTTTCTTTTGTATTTGGGTCTGCGGAGCCGGCGTGGACATTGAGGGGTTGGGGGCTGGGTGTTGGGTTAGTAGGGAAAGAAAAAGGGGGAAGGGGAGGCAAACGGCAGGGCGACGTCTCGGTCGAGCTTGTTGGCGACGATGAGCTCGGCTTCGCGCTTGTTCCAGGTGTCGAGGACTTCTTGGGAGGGAGCACAGCCGAGGATGCCGGGGTGGATGAGGCCGGCGAACTTGACGTGGGGGATGTGGCGGGAGGTGCAGTAAATGCCTTCAAAGTCCCAGATGGCTTTGGCTGCGGAGGGGTAGAGCTCGTCAAGGAAGCCACCCTTTCGTTTTGTTGTCAGCATGAGATGGGGAGAGAACGGGAGGAAAGGGCAACATACACCATTGGACTTGTCAAAAATGCCCGTGAAGCCCCATGGCTGGTCCTCAAAAGGCTGGACGTCCATGATCTCTACCAGAAGGGCATCACCTGGCTCGGCGTTTTCAATGGCGAACGGGCCGGACAGGTAGTGAACACGGGTGAGGTCGACATTCTTGATGTCGTCCGCGGAGTCGTCGTTCTTGATTTGGCCGCCGGTCCAGTCCAGGCATTCAATCTTGACCGTCTCGCCATCTTTGATGGTGGCGGCTGGAGGGATGTCTGGGTGCCACCTGTTCTGTAGGAGGGTTCCTGGGTGTTAGTCAACAGGTCCAAGATGAAGAAGGAGAGCCATGAGGAAAGTTACATGAAGGTATGGCTGCTCAGAAGCCGGCTTGTCAAAGTCAACCTTGCAAACGGTGCGGATAGCGGACTTGCCCATGGCTACTAATGAGGTTAAGAAAGACACGGGAAAAAGGAAGGGGAAAGTATCAACTGTTTGGATATTAAGTATCATACGCCTCATGCAAGACAGGACCCAGCTCTATATATACAAATTTTATGCATCCCTCGTGAAGCTACCCCGCATCCCATGTGTTCCTCTCTTCACCTCGCAGGTCATGTAAACCAAAGAGAACGACGTAATGACATCCAGAAAAGCCACTATCATCGTCCTGCAGGAAGGCTATCAGTGAACGCCGAGACTCTCTTGCATCCCAGACCCACGCCGTTGGAGGAAGCTACTGCAGCATTCGCAGTGTTCTTGGACGGCCCCCGCACGCTCCACCACGGCAGACGAGGTGGGAAGAGGGGCCGTGATAAGAAGGCTACTGCAAAGGTATCCATATACAAATAGGAATTGAGGCCGGAGATAACGCGGACTGCTGAGGTCCCAAGCATCATCCATTGGCCAATAACAAAACGTGAGAGCAATGGCCTTGAGAAAAGAGATAGGAAATGGCATTTCCAACTTGGATCCGTCAGTCATCCACATCTGTCAGAATCACTGATGCGAATACCGCCTCATTACTCAGTTATCGGTCTTGCCTCTGGGTGTGGATCTGTCTCGGAGTAGGCAGGCGGCTTGTCGTGGAGTGTATCGAGTTTGTCGAGGCTCAGGCTTAGGAACTTTTGCTTGTTCTTCCACTCGACCTGACCGGCTGCAAACTCTTTGGCCTCGGCCGGGGCCGGAGGGGGGTCGGTGATCTTGGTAATGAGATAGGCAGTGCTCTGTTGGGTGTTAGTCATTACCCTCGTGGTTTCTTCGCCGGACAAAGGGAGAGAAGACTTACAGCTTCGGCAATGCCATAAATCAACACTCCCAACAATGGAGTCTTCAACAGCGTGTAAAATCCAATGCCGAATCCAAACAAGAGCCCCTCACGGCTCCGGAACCACTGTTTCTTCTGCTCCTTGGTAAACTTGATTCTCGCAAAGTAGGGCTCCAACAGCTCTCTGACCAGGCCTCTACTAGCAAAGTAGCTCTGCAAGAAGATAACCAGATACCTCCTAGGCAGCAGAATCCCCGTTCCGAAGATAATCCCGGCTGGTCCCAGCCCGACAGCCTTGTTAAACGTGTAGAAACTAGCAGCAGGCAGCACAAACCGCCCCACATACGGCAAGTAACTCAGCAAAAACACCCCCAAGCTAATCGCGCCCCGTCTCGCGAACCGAAACAGAAACATACTCACGTTCTCCGCCGTGCTCGTCGAGTTGGTGCTCCCATCGCTCTTCTTGTACAATCTCAGGCTGGGGTAGTACATAGCCCTCAGCTTGGACGGGTCCTCGTCATGCTTATGTTTCTGAATATACGTCATATCCACCCACTGCAGGCTATCCATGAACAAGTCGTCGAGAGTAGGTGTGATGTAGCGGACCAGGCTCATGAAGAAGAGGGGAAATTGAAGGACATGCTCTTCGATGAAGGTGAAGAATGACTCGTCCCAGGGGATGTTGACGAAGAAGGAGAGCACCCAGAAGAGAATCCGAAGGAGGACGAGAGGGATGACGATGAGAAGACGAATGGCGATTCCGGCTCCGACGGCGATGGCAGCTTGCTTGTAGTGCTCAGAAGTGAAGAGGCCGGGGTTTTGCATCGCGCGGTGAGCTGATGGGTGTCAGAATCAAATCTCAAGTGTAGATAGGAGTGAAAACATACCACCAACCATGGTCAGTTGGGCGCCTCGGAGGATGGCGTTGAAGTCGAAGTGGGAGACATCGAGTTTCTGTTTGAGCTTGTCTTTGTCCAGCTGATCTATCAGCGGTTTTTTATTTGAAGCCATCTTGGCTGCGGGATTTGGTGAATGTCTGCCTGTTTCTGTCTTTGACTCTTCTGCTGTATAGTGAATGGTGTTGCTTGAGCCCGAGGCAGCTTGATATACAGGTATGGATGTTTTTTAAGCTTCAAGCTTCAAGCTTCGAGGCGGCATCTGAGATGTGCCCCTGCCGATGATGTCAACTGTCCCAAGTGGACTGCTAGTAAAACTCGGCTAAGCCGGAAATGGGTTGACGGGTCCTGGCCCCGCTCTCGAGGGTCGGATGGTAGCACAGGTGCATATTTGATAAGGAGCTACACTTAGATCAGGTCGACGTTGGTATTACGTCAAGTACCCCTCAAACAGAATCAATATCTGCGTCGCAACGGAGCCTGGCTACGCGTTGACATAGCTTTCTTTTAAAGGTCAGCATGCTAACTAAACTTGGCGATTGGGCCTAAAAGAGACTTTTAATATTAATTAAAGCTAAATATACTAGAAATATATACTTTTTCCTACAAACTTACATTTTATAGATTCAAACGCTAATTTTTTCTACTACTATTACTACTATTATTTATTTTTTATATAACTTAACATTTCTAACAGCTCTCATACCTTTAATAACTTTAACAGTTTTAACAGTTTTAACAATTTTAACAGTTTTAACAATTTTAACAGTTTTAACAACTAACTCTAACAGTTAGCTTTAACAGCTAGCTTTAGCAGCTTTAATAAATTTTGTTAGAGTCTTATATAAGTTAAATGTCAATAAGATATATAAAACTATTTATATATAAATTTTTATAGTTTTTACGTCTATAAAAAAATCTGATGTATATAATAAAGACCTATTTTTACCTACATTTGTAGACTTTTTTACATTAGAAAACTTTAGCCCTAGTTCGAAGATATAGGGTGGGGACTTATTCTGGATGTGGTTAGCATGCCGACCTTCGGGAGAAAACCATGCCGGCGCGCAGCCGGGCTCGTCGCAACGGCCCACGGTGCCATAGTTCGCCGCAATGGACAGGAAACCCCGGCCCGTTGAAGGGGCTATGGGCGCTCTCCTGGGGATCCTGGACGTTGAATCAGACGTTGAATCAAATCTAAATTCTCGTCAGAAAGACCGGACAATTCCAGCTTCTCGAGAATTTTCAACGCCGTTTGTCCATCCTGTCCTGCCCTGCGTTTGCCGCGGCCGTTGCTGGAATCAAATCCGACACGGCAGAACAAGGACGGGAGTGGGGCAGCTTTTCGCAGTTGCGCCCACAGCGGTTCGTTCGGCGTCAGCTTTGCTCCCTTTTGGCCACTGATTGTGACGGAAGAGACGGTACTGTCTTCAACTTCATCCGTTTGCCAGCTTCTTTGCCCATTGTACTCGCTCTTTTCTTGTCGCATCCAGCGTCCAGCATTACTAGCCCGGCCCCCCTCTACAGTGCTGTCACGTAGCACCAGCAACCTCCCCGGCAAATCTGTCGATAGATCAGAATCATCGTCCCATTTCGAAACACATCTCTTTATAACACCAGTTTCGCATCCGCATAGCCGCCGAGATCTCCGAGTCCAGTCTTCCTGTTGGCCTCCTATCTCTGCGTCATGCCCGCAGCTCTTCAACCCACGCGATCATGATTTACGACCTGAACTGAATGAACAATGGACTCCTCGCGAACACGGGGAGCATCTTTCATGGCTCCGCGCCGCGTCTTTACGGCACCAGTCCACCAGCCTGCGGTAGCGCCCCCGCGGCCATCTTCCTCCTCCGCTTCGCAACCCACCAGCGGTCTCGTCGATACTCTTTACGACCATCCTAATGTGAAAATCGTTTCCTTCTCGGCAGGATCCCAGTTCCTTGCCATTGGCTCCAAAGGCACGGGTCCCGACATTGAGCCTGGCTCGCTATCTTGGTCCTCACAGTTAGAGCGGACCATTGCAGTCGGTACGTGAGACACAACATCTGCCGTGGCAACTGAACTCTAATTCCTCATGTTTACAGGACCTTTCCGCATTTACCGCGCCCCTGGATCAGTCGCATTCCTGAGCTGCGGCTCTGCATTACAACCCATTTTGAAGAAGAGTCAGGTCTGGTGCGTGGACGAAGAATCCAGCAAGTTCGTACTACAGATACGACGCCCCCAGTATTGGCGGATTGAAGTACCAGTGAAGGATCCCGAGGACCAGCGACGAGCCGAAGTGTTGCGAGAGGTCTTTGACCAGATTCTGCAGTTTGAAAAGACTCCATGTCCTTTCGCGAGGTCTTTCACCGTTGACCTTCCAGAAAGCGCTCCTGTCAAGTTGAAGCCATGGACACCAGCGCGGAGATCCAGTGCCTGCCTCCCTGTGCGACCATCTACGCCAGTCGAGATTGCGCATATTCATCGGGGTCCACCACGAGGGTCGATTTGCCTTGGCGACCTGTCATTGAGTGAACAAGGCAAATACTTGGATTCGACACTGGGAGAAAACCCAAGAGAACACAAGGCAAAATCCCAGGCTCATGAGGGCTCGCCTGTAGGAGAGCCGAGCGGAAATGCGTTGCGCCCATCACCCCTTAAGATTAAGAAGACTGAAGAAAAGGGGCCTGTCACCCCTCCACAGCTCACAGTGGTCACGCCGCCCCCTTCAAATCCCAAAAAGACGAGGATTCCACGAGAAGTATCACCCAAGAGTGCCAGCTTTCAGTCACCAGAAAATTCTCAGGATTCCTTTCGCAGTCCGGATTCATGGGCTTCAAACTCTCTACCTTTGTCCCCACCCCTGTCCAGCCCAGGGTCCCCTCGAAGCTCTCTACCCTTCAGAACTAGCCTCCAGAACTCATGCCTTGATACCCCTACAACACCCGTTGCAGCACCTAGCAACAACCTTGCCACAGCCGCCAAGGCATCACAGTCATGGAGTATCTCCACCTCCGAATCCGGAAGGACGGAGAACAGCGAGGAAGCCACTCTATCCTCCTTCATCTCTGAATTGGAATGCTCCCCAAAGTCCAAGGCCCCAGCGCCAAGACAACAGTCTATTCCTTCCATTATCCACTCGGTCCCAGAAGAAGCCATCGAAGACGAGCCAGAGTACGAGTCCTTCCCCACAGCGTTCACCACACCAACTCCTACCATTTCCATCTCGCCATCTCCTTCCTCGACGACGATCACCACACCCACCCAACAGCAACGCCGTCCGGGTATCCGCCGGGCTACTACTTCATCTTCGCTATCCCCCGACCGTAGGGCGTTGTCTCCTCTCCCCCCTGCAGCGGACCTCTTCACCCCACGCAGCACACTCACATCTTCCCCACCTTCTAACCGCCAGATGCGCAGTCTGCCGATGATGGTGGTGCAAAAGACGTGCGAGATTCTGATGTCACCTCCCTCTCACCTCATCAGTCTGATGCTGAAGATTGCGGCGAGGATCTTGGCAGGGGAGTGGAAGGGGTTGATATTTGGGTGGGGGGAGAAGGGGGAGAGGTTGGAAGTGGAGTGGGATTGGAGTGATGACGACATCAGTCCTCAGCAGCAGCAGAGAAAGAAGACGACGGGGACAAGGGCGAGGGGGTGGTCGACGCTTACGGTTAATAATAGTAATGGTAATAATGCGAATGAGAGGGTGGATGACTGGTGGTTGAAGAGGAAGAAGAGTAGGGATCGGATGGCGGGGACTTTCCCGGAGAGTGATGATGATGAGGAGGAGGGGGTTGATCCTCTCGAGGTTAAGAACAGGAGGGTGAAGGCGTTGAGTGGTGGGGAGGATGAGGATGCGATGAGCTCGGGGGTGGATTAGAGGCTTTACCCCCGGTTTGTTGTTGGATCATCATCATCTCCTGAGCTGTCGTCGCCTATGAGGAGGAAGAGGAGGGGGTTTTTTGAGGCGTTGAGGGAGGCGGGGGTTTTACTTGGGACTGGGGGGGGTGCTGGTGGGGGGGTTTCTTTTTGATGGGTTGGTTTGGATTTTGTATGATTAGTTCCTTTTTTTGGGGGGGATGGGGATGGGGGGGGTAGGAAGAATCACAGGCTTCGTCAAGGTATTAAGGGGGTACGGATCATGAAATGATACCTGGACAATTGGGACAAGGGATATGATGGGGGTATGGGTGGATTGGGTTGATTGAGAGTACCATACATGCTATGAAGTACAAGCCGGACAGAGAGAGTTTGTTTGGTAATTTTGTGTATGAGATAATCAGAGAATGGTAGGGGGCGTTTGTCGGATAGGTGTGGTGCTTTTTGGAATTTGTATATGTATACGTAGAGTGAATATCCCTTGTTTAAGTACGCTCCTGGGAGATGGATGGGTGGACTGGACGGGGTTTCCAGACACGGCGGGAGAGAGAGGCAGAGAATGCACCACAAGCATTTATTAAAATCATGATTTATTTTAAACCCAAGGTTCTTTTCATTGAATTCTTGGTTAATCTCTTTGAGCGACGCTAATACCCTCCTCCTCCCATCCCCAGCCTGTTTGCTAATGCATGCGTGCTTGTGTACAAATATATAAAATTGTTACAACCCCCCCTCTTCTCCCTTAGGTAGGTCGTTTGATGCGAAAGAGGCACAATCTACTGAATCGTCATCTCGCCAAACTCCTTGTGCCCCGTCTCCTTCTGGTGCACACCCGCCTCCTTCATCCCCTTGCCGATCCACTGGCACACTTCGCACTTGATGACGAAATCGGTTGTGTCAGTGTAGTAGTGCATCCTCTGGAGTTGCGCAGCGAGCTGTCTCGCCTTTGTGAGCACCTCCTCGTCTTGCGTGTCCCATTTTGTTACATCGCAGTCCACAGGGTAGGAGAGGTCAAGGGCAAAGGCGATGCGATCGTAGTGGATGCCGCTGTAGAGAATGATTATGCGGGTCTCTTTGCCTTCGCCAAAGCGGTCGACTCGGAGGGACTTGACATCGATGGAGGAAATCTCAATGTCGTAAATGTCGGAGAGGATGGAGAGCTCGATGGCGCCGCCCCAGGTGTCCTGTTCCATGAGGTGGGAGCAATACTTTTGTGGGGGCGAGCCCAGGATGGCAGCGGTGTATTTTTCTGGGTGGGTGAGGATGTACTCGGTGATTTGGGCGCGAAGGCGAGAGGATGGGTTGTCGATGGAGAGGGCGCCTCCTACTGCGGTGAACATGCAGCTGTTGTCGTCGGGCATTACTCTTAGGACTGTGGTGCGTTAGCAGAGTTGGGAAGGTGGAGGGAGAAAGAGGCGTACCTATGTAACCGCCTCGGGAGGCCCACTCGAGGGATGTCTCATCGGGTTCTATCCCTTTAGGGACAAACGCTGGCTTCGCTGGCTTGGCTGGCTCTGGAGCTGGAACAGGTGTGGTATCGATGGGTGCGACGACGATTGTCTCCCCACGGAGCTTCAGGTCTTTTATACTTGAGCTTTGTGAAGAGAGACTGATGTCCAGGTTCTTGAGTGGGTAGCCGTATTTCAGGCTGAACCTCTCAAGCTCGGTCTTTGATTTGATGAGCGCCACAAGGTCGGAGAGGGTCGACTCGTCCTCAACCTGGATTCGAGATTGCCCATTAGGGGCTCGGAGGGCGATTTGAATCATCATCTTGTGAGAGTGTGGTATAGGTTGAGGCCGAGGAAGGTATGAGTTGCCAGCTCTTGAGGAGGTTGTTGCTTGAGAAGGTTGAGAACGGAAATTATGCCAGACAAGTCAAATATATATACCGGTACCACGAGAGTAAGAGCCCCACAGTATCTGATTTGAAGTTAATGCCCCAAAGATAGAAGTGAGTTGTGAGGCTCTTATCGCAGATCGTCTGAACCTTTGCGAGGTGAAGAGATGAGCTGGGGGAACATGTTAGTCTAGGTTCTTATCTGCGTTCTTTGAAGAGATGACACAATATCAGACGAGGGGAGTGATGCACCTATCAAGCAAGCCAGGGGCAAATCAGGAGCAATGAGTCTTGTGCCGTCGATTTTTTTTGACTTGGTAAACAAAAGCTTGCTATGAGTCTGATACCAAAGGAAAATGCCCGATTCGGAGCTCTCGTCTGGTTGGGCGTGAGATGTGAGCCGACGTCACAGCGGCAGTTGTTATCGATGCGGATGGGAGGTGGGTGTTAGCGATCGACTTGGGATGTCTTGTGAGCACTGTCTCAGAGCAAGAGATATAAGTGATAAAAAAAAGCTTCGAGAGCAGGTGAAGCCGCTGGGACTAGTAAAGACCGAAAGACAAACTTTTTAACAACGGCGCCTGTTGGAGTCTCTCGTGATCCAACCCTACAAGCTTGTGGATGGGCTTCCCAATGTCGTAAGCTACCAGCTGCCTCGGGCGTGTCACGGGCCAGGGGCACCTTGGTGGGCAATATGTTTATATCCGATATGGGAGAGAGCAGGGGTCCGTGCGCCAACCAAGAACAACGCGCTAGCTGCAAGGCCGGCCACAGCGACATTTCTGGGCTGGTGTCTCTCAGCTGTGGAGAAAGTCGCGACGGGACTTGACTCGGTTCAACACTGGCACACAGGCACATCTAGGCACAGAGCTCCCTCTCACTGGTCACTGGTCACTGGCACGGTCACTGGCACTTGTGGCTCCAGCCGGTTGAGGTACCCCCATCGAAACAGTGTCTTGGAAACCCTGCTCCTCCAAGTTCGTGTACCGAGTACGATGCCCACTTTGCGCGAACGTCCCAGCAGAGGCGATATCTCGCCCGCCAAGAAGAGCTCCGGAAACAGCTCCCAATTCTCACCCAGCACAAGCAAATCCGCCAGATCCTCCCTCCGAGAGAGTGTTCCCAGGGACGCCATCGAAGTCCGAGAAACGATAGAAGCCAAGGGCGACCAGGAAGAAGACGTCGACATGGCCTACGCCGACGCGCCGACGCGCCCAAGCATCAAGGGAGGCCCCGATGCCGACACCGAAATGGTTGATGCCGGAGCTGCCAGCATTGACGCGAAACCAGATGTCGATGCAGATGGCGACGTAGATGCTGATGGGGAGCCTGATGCCGACGGCGAGCCAGACGAACAGGCGCAAGAAGACCAGGAAGAATCAGACGAAGAGAAGGATATGCTCCAGCTCATCAGAGAAACATCCGAATACTTGTGTGGTTACACAATCAAGGTTGATGGAGAGTAAGTCTTATATCACTTGTCATGCGATGCGCCGCGATGCTGATTGGATCGCAACCAAAAAACAGAGACCACGAGATTGCCTCGGGGTTTCAGCGCCTCGTCAACAAGCGCAGCCTCCCAGACTATTTTGAAGTCATCAAAGAGCCAATGGCTTTTAGTACCATAAGAGTGAGTTGCCGTGGCTTACCCTGCTCCATCCTCCCAACGAGAAAAACGAGGGGCGGCTTGCTGACCTAACCGCATGGCTGCAGGGCAAGCTTAACAAAAGAACCTATACCTCGTTCAAAGAGTTCGTGCATGACATGACGCGCATATGCCACAATGCGCAGGTGTACAACAGGCCCTCTGCTCCCATCTTTTCCGATGCTGGCCGTCTGCTGGAAGTGTTCAAGGAGAAGCTTGCAGAGCTGGTCAAGGACGGTGATATTACTGCAGAGGAAGCTGTGCTGCCGGACCTTGGACCACTGCCAGAGTTTGAAGATTCCCCTCCCCCTGAAGACGACGAAGAGGAAGAGCAGGATGATGAGGAAGAGGAAGAAGATGAGGAAGAAGAGGATGACGATTCGGACGACGAAGGCAGGCGGCGTCGCTCAAGAAGAGGTGGGCGTCGGGCGAGGAGAGGCGCAGACAACGACGATGATCCTCACAAAAAGCGTGGCAGACCGCCCAAGGTCTTGACGCCTCTGGAGGCGCGAACCCAGTCGCTTCTGAAGGGACTGCGGAGGTTCAAGAGCGACGATGGCCAGCTGCGAATTTTGTCGTTCGAGAGGCTTCCTGACAAGGCTGACATGCCCGACTATTATGCCTCGATTCGAAACCCCATTGCGCTCGACACCATCAAGAAGAAGCACAAGCGCAAAAAGTACACCACCATCGACCAGGTCCTGCAGGATCTAGAGTTGATGTTTGGCAACGCTATGCAGTTCAACGAGGAGGGGAGCCAGGTTCATGAAGACGCTACCGAGTTGCTGAAGCAGGCGCGTCTTCTTACTGAAGAAGAGAAGGCCAAGCCTGACGATGAGTTTCGTGATGAGGATGGAAAGCTACCACTATCACATATCGAGCACAAAGGAGAGGTCTGGAGAGTTGGTAAGTTGCCCCCCTTGCCACCGCTGGGTGAAGGAAGACGCATAGATGCATACTGACTCCAATTCGGTTGAAGGCGACTGGGTCCATATTCGTAATGCGAATGACTTGCAAAAACCAATCGTTGCCCAGCTCTACCGGCTCTGGTCTGACGCTTCTGGTCAAAAGTGGGTGAATGCGTGCTGGTACTACCGGCCGGAGCAGACAGTTCATCGCTTTGACAAGCATTTTTATGAGAACGAGGTAGTCAAGACGGGGCAGTACCGTGACCACCCCATTGAAGATGTCGAGGATCGCTGCTTCGTCATGTTCATCACGCGGTACCCCAGAGGTCGGCCGCGTGGGCTGCCTCGGGACAAGGCTGTGTATCTGTGTGAGGCGCGCTACAACGAGGAAAAGTTCAAGTTTAACAAGATCAAGACTTGGACCAGCTGTCTGCCAGACGAGGTGCGCGATCGGGACTATGAAATGGACCTGTTTGAGCAGCCACGGGTGCTGAGAAAGGTTCCCAGTCCCATCAAGCACCTCTTGCAAGCTGATGCTAAAGAGACCGACGACCTTCCCAAGCCCACCTGGAGGAGCATGAACGCGCCTCCCCTAATTGGAGCCGTCCACCGCCGGCCGCGCGAGCCAAATGTAAGTCTGGCTCCCTGTTTCTTTCCTTCCCTGAGTGTTTGTCAGGCAAGTGTCTGTTCGCTGCAGCCGGCTTTTACGGTTTGCTGAATTTTTCAACCCCACACTCTTCTCTTACCTCAGGTCGCTCTGGACAACTTGCCTCCCTTCCTTCATTTTGCCCTTTGTTGCCTAAGGCACAGCAAGCACACACACACACACCACATCAGGCGCCTATCTCATCTCGTCTTCTCATAACCTCATCCACTCTTCCCTTCATTACCTACTCCATCCTGCCACAACCACAACCACAACCACAATCACAATCACAACCACGACCAACCCGCTTGTTCCTGTCCGACCATAAGCTGACATTTAGCCCAAAGGAGTCGCCTCCCCCCGCTCCGAATCCCTTGCTGCACACAGCGGTCGCACCTGTGCCGCTGGCCATCGGACCTCCTCGTGTCGCCATGAAGGTCGAACATGGTGTCGTGGGAGCACCGCCCTATCAGCACCATGCTGCCGTCGCGCCTGCGCCCATCCACTCGCCGGCTTCTCACTATCGCATGCAGCACTTTGTGCCACAACAGCCACCGCCCTCGGTCCCCAGTCCTCACCCGGCACCGCTCCATCTCCAACCCCAGCCCCAGCAGCCGATGCCAATGCACGTGCCGCCCCATCCTGGTATGGGACAGCAAATGCAGCCAAGCCCACACTACCCACCCCATGGGTACCCACAACAGTACGGCCCGCAGCAGCCACCGGCTCAGCCGCCGCAACCACTTCATTATCAGCAACACCCTCCACCACCCATTGCGCCCGCTTTCGAGCAACATCAACATCACCCCCAGCACCACCGCCAAGTTCATCCCGCGCCCCCCGTCATGACACCCTCTCGCCCACCCATGGCTCCCGCCCCCAGCATCGCACCTCTCGCGCACCCCAACGGCCCACCAGCCAATGTGTACAATCCGCCTAGGGCTCCCGAGGCGTATACTCTCGCTGAGCACGCCGACGCGGCCATCCCCAAGGAAGTCCGTGAGCAGTTTCAACGCGACGAGAATGGTCGTGTCCTCTTTTTCACGGCCCCTCCGCTCAAACGCGCCAACAATGGCGTCTCACAAGAATATGCCCACCTGGGTCACAGCGTGGAGCACTTGGCCAACATCAAACAGATCCGTGCAGAGCGCGCGCGTAAACGCAAGGAGCGGGACGAGGCTCTTGCCCGTGAGCAAGAGGCCAACAAGAAGCGATCACCAAGCGAAGAGGCGTCCGCGCAGAAATCGATTGAGCAGGAGCAGCAAGCCCGAGCACAACTGATGGAGAGGGTCATTCTTGATTGGTGTGCGGAGCTCAACAAGGGCACCGAAGCTCTCGAGAAGGATCTTGGTGAAGGGTGGAAGGAGATGATGCAGCAGAGCCGGGAGGAGAACAAGGGCTTGACGGAAGAAGAGATCAAACAAAAGAATCTGCGGTGGTTTTACGAGGACCTCGAGAAGACAGGCAAGATCACGTCAGAGAAGCGAAAGGAGATGGAGAAGATGTTTCTGAACAAGAAGCATTTGGAGGCTTGATTGGCTGGTTTTATTTCATTGTCTGGGTACTTGTGAGCTTTGGAGTTGGTGTTGGAAGGGAAATTTGATACTGGCAGGCAAGGCAGGGCGGAAAAAAAAAGCGAGAACAGGAATACCCTTTGCGCGGATTCCGGATATCAATGCGTAGCGTATACTGAGGGACTACTACTAAATGGGTTATTGTTTGGTTTTGTATGATGTACTGAAGGACTAGAAATGCAGGATCTTGATCAATTGCGGTGGTGAGAAACAGCGGGCGGTGAAGCAGTGCGTGACACGTTGGCATGTTCAGAGCTTGTGGTTGGTTATCGAGAGCGCCTTGGTTGACTGCGCGTCCGCCGAGAGGATCTACAAGATGAGATGGGGCTCTCCAACATCTCTAGAACACTGATCTCCCTGGTCTTCTAGATAATTGCGGGAACTGTCTGCACAGCCTGCTGGAGATAAGATGCGTAAGCTTCTCTCTCTGAGCCTCGTCTTAAGTGAGGGCGCTGAGACATGGTATGTAATGATGACGTTTGGAGAGGGGTCCGCTGTTAATCACTCTGGTGATGAGAAGATAACAATCTGACAATGCTGGAAGTATAGATATAAAATCATTGTTCTTTCTATGTTCTAGATATGCGGCCTTGGATTATCCTCTCAAGTTCAACCTATCATTGTAACAAGTTAAGAATTTCCCTCTACAGTACCGCATGAAGCGTAATCCACCCAGCACCACAACCATCACCAACAGCTCGGAGACGAACACAAGCACGACGAACATGCAGCCAGAGTTTGTACGGCAGAGACAAGACAGCGGCAGCGGCAGCAGCAGATTTTCGGGGCTGTTTGGCAGGGGTAACAACAATAATAATATGGGAAGTGGGAACGGGAACGAGTACGAGCGGCGGCAGACTCGGGCAGGGTCGGTTATTACGGATGTGAGCGTGGGTGGTGATGATTCTTCTTCGAGGAGGTCATCTGCTACGTCTGAGAGCTCGGAGGTGTTTGTTTCGCGACAGGTGGAAAGGCAGGCTCGGCCGTTGGAGGGGAGGAAGGAGGATAAGAGGGTGGGAAGTTGGAAGGGGGGGGAGGGGGCGTTCATCGGGGGTGCGTTGGAGATTGCGTTTGATATTTAGGTTGTTTGTTTTGGGGGGAGGGGGTTGCTTGTTTGGATGTGATGTGATACAATGGGAGGAAGGCTTTGCTTTTGACTGGCGTTGATGTAGACAAGACTGGCAAATTCTGAGCTTCTTATTTTTGGCCAAAACCATGGTATCAGGGATGTCCAAAGGGAGAATCTTGAAGGGGAAAAAAGAGAGAGCATTTTAGGAGCTTCAAGGATATGTTAAAGTCAATTCATGTTTGCTTGCTAAATAAAGTCTTCTTGTCTCCTGATGAGCTAGAGAAAATGGCTAGTAGGCTATGCAGAACGTCGTATCGACTTGGATGCTACTTTGACTGGGTGTAGAATTCTTTCATTAATGTTTGGAAAAGGAGATAGACGGGAAACAGGTCGGCATTCTTTTTTTAGCAAAAAGTCAAAATGGTAAGTAATGGCAACAGCCAAAAGATGCATCAGCCGTGAATCGAACACGGGGCCCATCGATGGCAACGATGGATTTTACCACTAAACCACTGATGCTGGGAGATATCCTTGAAGGGATTGTGGAGGTGTCAGATAGAAAATCTGCTTTTGTCACGGAACTCCGTGCTTCCGTCGATGCAGAAAAAGCGTAGCTGTGGGTGAAGTTTTTCAGCTCCACAGCGAAGTGGAGTGGTGATACTTTCTTGGTGGGTTGCCCTGGCTAGACCTGCAGCAACAGCGACCCAGTGACCGTTGGGCCGGGTCTAAGTGGAATGGAGGCACCTTGATGGCCGCTTGGACATGCTATTGTTTCCTTGCAGATTGCGAAAGTCGCTGTTATCAGCTGGCATCAAACATCGAGAATGGGGGAACGCAAAGTCGGTCCTCGGCAAGCTCTAGTGTACCCCAGAAAACATGATTTTGTGCGACTGGTTGGAATTTCGGGATTGCCGGAAGATTTGTGTATCTTTGACGGGTATCATGCTGATGACGTCGAGTCTTGTGAGATTTCGTGGGGCCACGACAACGTGGTTCGCAGCGTGGCCGTTGGGTTGGGGTAGGGCGTACACGGGCAGGTGCCAACGCATCACCGCTGCTCGACCCCCCAGCCTCGGGATTTTGAGTAGCTTCAATTTGACGAGATTGGCTCCCAGGCAACGGTCTTGATAGCAATTTTGTTGGTGAGAATCTGCCAGGAAAATCAGGCAGGGCAGTGTGCAAGACAATAAGGATGCGCGCGTGCCTTCCTCAGGAGCAGCTTCCAGCTTTGAGTCACTGCCGACGTCAGTGGCAAGAAGCTGGCGACGGCTGGGGAGCAACTGTTTGGCGGGTACTCTGTCGTTTCAGGATGCAAATTGAGGCGGTTGGGAGAGCAATAGAAGTGAATAAAGACGGCAGGCACGGTTTTATCCTATATACCCTTTTCTCATCTAGATTTATATCTTTAGGAAATAACGGAGGGCAGTTCTATGTGCCAGGGTGGTGCGGCTCTGCAGTCCTGAGCTTCTGATTGGCCAATAGTGGGTTGACAACACTTGGGCATTGGCGGGGAAGGGCTCCACTTTCAACCCGAGTCATCGCCTCCCGTCCGTCTTCAACCCAAATAACATAACACCATCCATTGCCTCTGGCATCGCTGCCACCCACCTCTCAGGGGCATCACAACAATAAGGTCCCGCGCCTGCGTAATTTGCTATTCTTCTGCCACTTTCCACCGCACACAATGGTGCCCTCTTTTTCTTGCTATTGACCGGCCCCCACGACAATTTCTGCCTTCCTCTTTCGCCGACCTCTTGCGCCCTAAATCCAATCTCCCAACTATTTCTTGCCAAACCCAACTCCCTCCCACTTCCTCTTCCTCCTCACCCCGACGCAAGCAGACCGCACACAATACCGCCTCTTGCTTCCTGGCAGTGCCATACTTATCCCTCCTGCCCTCTCCTCTCCTCTCCTCACACATTCTTCCCGTCCTTCAATCAATCACGCTCAATACTGCTTACCACCACTTTGTTTTCTTCGCCTAACAAAGTATGTCCTCGCCTTTCCTGGCCCACGTTTCGAGATACTAATCGTTATAGGAAGTCGAAGCCCACGCCGTTCCGACCGATCGACAACAATCAATCCCATTCGCGTTGTCATCTCACAAACCACAAGGTCAGAGTCCAACGAGATGGCTTCATCCGCCGACATGGCGTCGACCTCCTACTTTGGTCGGCCCGTAGCCAAGCACCGGCTTGCCACCGACTTCGACCTGCTTGTCAAGTGGTCCCGGGTCCTTGGAGCACGCCCGGAGAACCCCTCCTGCATCCTGTCGCAGCTCTCCAAGGAAGACCAAGCTACCCTGTTCTCTCCATCATTCGAGCAGTTCCGCATCGTCGACGACGCGTCGGAGGGTCCCAAGATTGAGATCGTCCAGAACAAGCTGTACGAGCGACTTGGAGTCGCGCCTATGGATCCCGACCTGGCCGCCATGATGGTCTCTGACAACTACAAGCGTTCCGAGAAGTCTTTGTACGATGTCGCCTGCCACCTGCGTGACGCCGAGGAGGAGTCTGGCGTTCTCTACGACTTTTGCCTCCAGAAAGCCAAAAACGCGGGCTGGACTGACTACGAAGCTCACCAGTACGCCAAGATGTACCGGTCCAGGCATTTCGTTCACATTGTGCGCCGCCGGCAACAGGAGATCAGAGACGAGAAGCGCAAGCTCACCATTCCGGGCTATACCCCGATTGAGCGGGATTTGATCCCTGTGATTGAAGACCCTCTTGAAGCTGCCTCAACCGCTGGGCTGCGGTCGTACTTTGCTGGCCTTCCCGAGGCCACCTCGACCCTGGCATCTGTCCGTCTTGCAGAGAATGGCCCTCCCGCCTCAGCGTATGCCGGCCCGACTAACGACCTTCAACAAACACCAGTTTCTGCGCCTACCAGCAATGTGGGATACATGCAGGCCGCCCGTTACGAGTACCATCCATCATTTTCTCCTCACGTCACCACATCAGTTGTCGATCAGTTGCGACTTGAAGACATTCAGCTGTACCAGACGCCGTCGCCCGTTGGCGAGCACTCTCAGGCGAATGCCACCCCTTTCACCCCATCACCCGCTCCCATGACCACGAAGACCTCCTACTCTGGTTATGTCTCGGGCGCCAGCGACACCTCCATGGAGGCTCAAGCATCTGACAACTCAGGCCAGTTCTCCGACGCATCTTCTGCTGTTACAGAGATGCCTGTGTATGCTGCAGATGACGACGATTATGATGACGCCGACGGCGGCGCCTTGTTGCCCAGAGACCTTGCTGAGTCGCTTGGAATCCCCTCTCAGATCCCTTACTCCTCACATGTCACTCAACAACCTGTCTTTCAGACAATGCCCACAGTTCCGCAGGGAGGCCTCTTGGGTGCCGGTCTGAGCGGATACTGGCTTCCCGTGTACGCCGCTTCCGATGTCGCTGAGGACGGAAACCAAAACTCCTCTGCGTTTCAGTTCCCCCCTCTGAACGCTCCTGTTGCCAATACCGAGTGCAACAGCCCCGACCTTGTGCTCACCACCACTACTCAGTTTGGTGATACCCAGTTGACGACTTTTCAGACTCCTGCCAAGGGCCCGCGGAATTCCTTGTCTGAGAATGTCAAGGTGACCCAGTACCCTGAGTCTCGACAGCAGCTGTGGAACGGAATGACATGTTACGATGTCCCCTCATCTGCCCTGGGCTTTTTGAAAAAGCATCAGATTTTTCCGACGTACTGGACCACCAAGCTGGGCAAGGAGCGCTTTCTGCGCCACAAGTTCAGCGATTTGAAGCACGCAGATGCCAAGGTCATGCGTGACAAAACCTTGGGCAAGGTTGCTCGCAATCCTGTCTACATTGTCGTCGACTTGTCCAATATCATTATTGGCTTCTACGACAAGATGAAGGAGAAGCGTGGCATTCCCCTTGGCAGGCGCGTTATTGCCCCTGCCTTCAGCTTCAATAACTTCGACACGCTGCTTGCCCGCGATCGGAGTGTCAGGAAGCGTATTCTTGCCGGATCACTTGGAAGCGCCACCAAGTCTTTGCCAAGCCATGTCAAGCAAGCTAGCGCCATAGGCTATGATGTTAACCTTTTGCATCGTGTGTCCAAGCCAGTTTCGCCGCGTAAGATGCGAGCGGATCTTCAGTCGGACACTTCTAACGATGACGACGACCTCTTTACCGGCCCCATGAAGCTGGGCGAGCAAGGTGTCGACGAGGTTCTCCATCTCAAGCTTCTTCAGCTTGATTTTGATCACAAGCCTGGCACCATTTGTCTGGGCACTGGCGATGCTGCGTCTGCCGAGTACTCTGACGGTTTTTTGAAGAACATTGAGCGTCTCCTTGAGCGCGGCTGGCGTGTCGAGTTGTACGGATGGGCTCATAACATTTCCTTTGCCTGGCGCGACGAGTTTGAGACCAAGTGGGCTGATTTCTTCAAGATCATTGAGCTGGACGAGTTCTGTGAGGAGCTTTTTGACATGACCGTTGAGTCCATCCCCGACTTCAAACCGGCCTTTTAACCTCCCCCACGAGAATCTTGTCAGCTCGACTGACTGAATGGTCTTACCGACCGGCATCGATTCTACAATCTTCAGCCTATTTTTTGGTCTCTGTTCGCATCTCCCGGCGTTCTGTACAACATCATTTCTTCGGCTCTCTTTTCTGCTAGATCTATTGTCCATGACTCGATCTGGTGGTCTTCTCTGCGGCCCTCTGCTATGTTGCGAATTTCCACTCAGCGACACTTTTGATTTCGCAGTCTTTTGTCTCCAGACTGCTAGCCCATGAGTACGGAACACCACAACAGCAGCAATGGCTACCGCGACAACACAACCGCAGGCCAAACCATCATTTTGAGAGCATCCTCTCGCGCACATTCACACTTTTCGACTCGTCATGAGTGCAACGATAACACGATAACAACAAAAAAAAACATCAAAACGACTGATGACTATATGATCTGGTTTCACGATGGAATGATGGATTTCGACGAGAATAGGGTTTGCCTTCCAGACCAAGGCTTGCTTTCTGTTTCTGTCGACAACCTCCCACATCGAGTTCACCCTGCCTCAGCACACGGCCGGATATACGACACTTTGACCAGAATTGAGCCTTCTCAAACGGTACAATTCTGTGGCGCTGCCTAACCTTCCCGGTTTTCATTTTCTTTTTGGGGGGGAGGTATTTTGACGGCGCAACACGATAAACACCAAGAATAATGGTTGGGCATGGGTCATATGGGAAACATGGGAGTTTTCGCGGCATTTCATAAAGATACCCTGGCGTCTTCTTTTTCGGAAAGGATTCACCGCATTTCCACCTGGGCGCAGTTTTCCCTTCTTGGTGGTCTTCTGTTTCTTTCCATTGTTTCACGGATGGATGGCGCACCTGTTTTTCTTTCTCCTCTTGGCAGGCACCCTTGAGTTGCGGACGATAGATGGATCCCCTCATACACGGTCTTGATGATACCGGATTTTCACGATTGAAGGATTTTCACGAGGTGGTGAAGGAGGACATCGGAAACGACTTTTTTTGAGGGCCCAAGGTCACACAGAGCGATGGAAGGCATTCTGGGCATTTTCACGGCATGAAGCGTACTCGGAATTGCACATGCGGTATGCGACACACGATAACGGGTTTTATGGAGTTTTTATGGGCTTTTTATGGATTTTTATGGGTTCACGGACATCACGAGGAGGAAATGGTTATTATGAAGAAGGATTTCTCCGATAGTGTTTTTTATTGGCTGGTCCCTTGGGGTTATCGTCTTGTTATCCTTCGGATGATCTGATGGTAGCATTTGTTTCCCAACATGGATAGGAGAATTCTTCGGTTTTATTTTTATTTTTCTTTCTTGTTCTTTGTGTTATGGCACTATGGTTATGGCGCTTGGTCAATGGTCAGCATGAGGAAGATTCATGACAGCGAGGTGGTTTGTTTGCTTTTTGAAGCACAGCGTATTGTGTATATGGATTATGAGCATGGCACTGGCTTGACATGGCGTTGCGAGCATACACTTGTGATTGGAGGTGAAGAATAGCGTCGTGCTTCGTGAGGGTGGTGCTTGAGTGGTGAAGTAGTAGATATGGGATATCAATATACATCATGGTTGGGGGACTTTTTGGTAGTCTTCATGGTCGTGATGGAGGTGATGTGTGGTGAAGCTGTTCTTTGGGTCTGGCCCGTGAGCTGATATGTATGTGCCCTGTGATGTGGTATATACTTGCCATTCCTCCGTTGTCAATTCTTGACTTTTCAACATACATATCGTCCTGGGTATCTCCATCTCAACATACAGTAGCCTGAAACCCCTCCCATCACGACAACAACAACACCCCTTCTTCTAATCACCCAGCAAAGCCCTCCTGTAAAACCCCCACCTTTTCGTCCCTCCCCGTCAACCTAGCCATAGCCCCCTCATAAACGGCAAACTGCACGGCATTGACCACAAACGCCCTCAAACTGCAGACTCCTAGCCCCCGAAAGAAGGGTTTTATCCCTTCTCTCGCGTAGATTTCCCTCCCCGTCTGCCACGCCCCTTTGCCTTTTCCTCCACTCCCCAACAAACCTTGTTGTTCCCCCGCCGTGTCCCGAGTTTGCATCCTGGTCTTGACGACATCCAAAGGGAAAATACTCGCCCAGGTCAACACCCCCGCCACCCCACCGCAGAGGAGCGCCCTCCCTATTGTTTCCTCTGTTGTGGTGCCGAAGAAGGAGTTGTACCATCCGGAGGAGAGCTCGTACCCCCAGAAATAAAACCCGTACCCTATGCTATCTCTCAGAACGGTCACCCCCCCGGCTTGGTAGAGACCTTTTACGCCATTCTGCCGTAGGATTTGGGTTGTTACATTCCAGGAGGAGGTCGAGGAGGTTTGCGAACGGACTTTGATGATCTCGGTTGGGCAAGACACCAAAAAGGTGGCGAGGCCGGAGAGGCAGCCTGCTAGGAAGGTGGTTGTGAGGTTTGATCCTTTTCCTCCTTGCTGGCCGGGTTGGGAGGGGGAAGGAAACAAAGAGTTGAGGTAGGACTCTGAGCGGTTATACGACACAAAAAGCAGGGCGTTCAAGGCGCCGTAGGTGAGGATGGGGGCTGCTGTGCCGAGGAGGAGGTTGCGGGGGGTGGTCAGGATTCTTGGGTTGGTGGTGGTTGTGGTGGTGGAAGGGGAAGAGGAAGAGGAAGAGGAAGAGGAAGAGGAAGAGGAAGAGGAAGAGGAAGAGGAAGAGGAAGAGGAAGAGGAAGAGGAAGAGGAAGAGGAACTGGCTTGGAGTCGGACTTTGAGGACGTCGAGGGGGTTGCCGATTATGATGGAGGCTGCGCCCGAGAGGTAGCCGGCCCAGAAGTCGGCTGACATTGTTGTTGGGGTAAAAAAAAAAAAGAAATATGCTTCTCCTTTGGTTGGGAGTTACCCTCTTGTGAGAGTGAGTGTGTTGTCTGGTTTATGAGCTGGTATGGCTTATCGTCCTTGAGATGTGGTTGGTGGTGGTGGTGGTGATGGTGAGGGGGAGACTTGAGAGACTTGGTAAAACTGATATCCCAATCTATGGATCCTGGCAAGTCACCTGAAGAACTGTAAACTGTAAAAAGCAGTAAATGTTATCTCCTTGAATAGACGCCTCAAACTGAGCCTCTTTGTTTATCCCGCCATAATGATGACCGCGGGGTTAGTTAGATTCGGGTTAGCGGGGCGCAATGGACCCTGCCAAGGCTCACCTTCCCGCCTCTGCCGGCATGTGAAGATGACCACATGACGGAGGTTTGTAAGTATCACCACATGACAGTCTGATAAACCATAAATAATATCCTCCTGAACTCAGCAATGCTCCCGACTAAAAATGGGTATAAAACCGCCTTCTCAACCGTACTCAACCACGGTTTAGTACCTTCGCAAGAAAATGATTACAAGTACACATATCGTGATAAACTGAAACCCTTTAACCTTTCAACCTTTCCACCCGAAAAATAAATCAATGAAATCCGCTTATGCCATGGCCCAACCCACCAACAATGCTTGCTCTCATCGGAGTCAAAACAGAATATTCCGCTAACGTATACCCTCATCCCCACCTCTCCCTCTATTCTTTCCCCGTCTTCCCCAACATCACACAGCCACCTCAACCCCCTCCTCCTTCTTCTTCTCCTCCTCCCCATCCCCGTCCAAATCAACCTCCTCCCCCCTCGCCGCCCGCTTCGCAATATCCCTCTCCTTGTAAATCTCCCCCCTCCTCACCGTCGCCATCTCCAAATTCTCGGCATACGTCCTAAACTTGACAATCTCATGCAGCAAATACTCGCTCTTCCTCTCCCAATTCGCCATGGCCCTCACCGCGTTCGTGCTCCTCGGCGTGAACGCAAGCAGCATCGGGCTCCTAAGCGCGTTGTGGCTCTGCAGTTCCGCCTCGATACTCTTGATGTACCCCTGCAGATACCCCAGCTGGTCCTTCTCGGACAGGTTGCTGGGGCGGGTGGACTGCTGCGGCGGTGTCCAGTCGGCAATGTGGATGCGATCACCGGGCAGCTTAGCCGAGTGACGCATAGGAAGGGAGCCGACCAGGCCGGCGTGGTTGCCGAGGACGCCTGAGGAGCCCGAGCCAGGGCGGTTGAGAGAGCCGCCAAAGTCAAAGGACGAAGAGCGGATGGAGCGGCCGGATTGCATGGAGGAGCGGGTGAGGGTGGGTACTATCCCTGTGCCGGTGTTGGCAGCGGCCGCGCTGCCGGAGCGGGTGTGGCCTCGGGCGCTGCTGCCGGATGTTGGGGGGCGGTTGGGGAGGTTGGTTGTGCTTTCGTTAATGGCGGCTACGAGCGCGTTGTCGATAACCGCGTCGCTCCAGCCGTACTCGATGTTGGAGATACCACCAATCAGTGGTACTGTGCTGAGTCGGGCGCTCCAGTAGTTGGCCGTGCTGACGAACTCGGCGCTGATCTCGGGTGTGCCGACGTGGAAGAAGTGAACGGCGCCGGTGGGCAGGTTCAGGATCCAGACGTGCCTGCGGGAATTGCTGTACCCCCCAGGAGGGAAAGCAGTGGCGAGAGTATGCCTGAGCGAGAAAGTACCCAGGTTGGTAGCATGGTCTTGCCAGTTGCCCCCACCCACCACGGCACCCTTGGGAAGAGTCCCGCCAGGACCCCGTCTGTTCTTCTGTCTCATCGACTTGTTCGGCGAAAAGGAGAAGAGGCTCAGCTGCCCCTTTTGGATGACCGCAAACACTTCGGTCCAATTGTGGTTCTTGGGCTTCTTATTGTTCCCATCCTTGAAGTGTTTGTGGCTCACAATTCCTTCCTTGATCCATGGAGGACCGGCAAGCTCAAGAGACTCATCATCCAACAACTCATCAGGATGAACCTCCCCGTCGTCGTCGGCATTGTCCTCCCGGATAATCGCCTGGCTCAGAGCGCTGGCAAATCCAATCGACTGCTGGTAGTCGCCACGGGGATACGCCGAGCCGAACGAGTCCATCGACATGGAGGTGTGGGTCCTACCCAGCGACACCTTACTCCAGGTCGCTGAGGAATCGGTAGGGCTCCAGACAGACGTTCCATCGTCAAAGCTAGTCCTACTAGACGAGAAGCCGTTGCCAAAGCCTCGTGGTCTTGATCTGCTCTTGGAGTTCCACCTCGAGTTGGGCTTCATTGTGTCCTGAATGCGGCCCCGGGTGGAAGCAACACCCTCTGATGGCGCTTTGCTAAGCACACTGGGTGACCGCTTGAGCATGCTCATGACGGACAAGCTGTTTGGGGTCTGGACGATGGGGCTCGAGGCATCGGCGCCGAACAACGGCAAACGGTCATCGCGGATCGAAGAATATGTCTCCTTCAAGACAATTTCCACTTGTTGCTCCCATGTCTTCAGCGGCCCGTCAAATGGCGCCTTGACAAGAGGGCCACATCCGTCAGCCGAATCCGCAAACGTCCCAAGCGCCGAACCGGGACGTGGTGGTGGCTTGAACGAGGCCCGGAAGCTACTATATCTCGGGTTTTGGTCCTCCGACGTGCGACCTTCCGCCTCCCACTGGGGCCCCTTGCCCGGGAGGATGCTCGCACGCTTGTTGAACGCCTCAGGCGCCGACTCTTGAAGGGCCTGTCTGATGGTGGTCATGGTGTTCTTGACGAACTGGGGCTTGCTCATTCTGTGCTCAATATCGGCAATATGAAGATCCGTGTTGAGAAGAATGATTGAGTAGCAAATAGTGTGAATAACATCTGTGACAGGGTCAGCGAGACCCTTGGGAGAAACAGAGACACAAAACTTACCTGGTATTTTGAAACCATGATTTGGGTTGCAGTCGCACCACCTCTTGGTAAAGGCTACCAAGATCCTGTCCACTTGCTGTGTTTCAGCCCTCAGCAGCAGGCGGTTGCACACCAAGCGCAAGCCGCTCACAATGCTCTGGTTCTCAAAGTCGAAGAGATCCATGTAAGCACGTAGCACTCTCTGGCGAACAGGGCCTTCTTCACCCATGTAAGCCGCCGCCCGGTCCTTTTGGATGAACTCCTCACTGCCGTCATAAATCTTCTGTGCCTTTTGACGGTCATCTTCCGTCGGATCTCCCACCACAAACTCGTTTGGTTCATCAATGGACTTGGCTGAGTGAGGAATGGATTCACCCTTGGGACTCGGCTCGGCGCTTTCGATCTTGAAGCTGGGCACACTTGGCTTTTCAAGTGGCAGGCCGAGCGTGTTGGAACTGTCACGATTAGTGGGCGGGTTGTCGGTATTGTGTCGGATCGAAAGTCTCAAGTCTTTCCTGGCCATGTTAAGGTTTGGAACGCTCTTGGACTTGGATACCGTTGGTGACGGTGACCGGTTCCTGTCATCTTCCGCCCCAGGCTCGAGGTTCCTGGTTTCAGACTGAGGAGCCTTGCGATGCCGTACCGGGCTGTCCTCGTCATCACTGTCTTCGCGTAGAAAAGACTTGGGCGGCGAGGCCAGAGGCGTAGCAGGGGGCCGGTTTGGTGTGGTGGCAGTGTTGTTGGGATCACTGGGTTCGGGGTCGACTTTGCGTATAACAGCTTTTGGACTCGGGTCATAGTCCGGTGAAAAGCCGCGGTTCCTACCGCGGTTCTCCTCTTCCGGTGGCGCGGGATTCTTGGCCTGAACAGGAGATTCCGGGGCCTCGATGGAAGGCATTGGCTCGTCCACAGGGGTCTGGGCAGCGGTCGACATAGGGCTGCCAGCAAGGAACGGGTCCATGGCCCGCCGTAAGCTGGTGATCGGGCTGGGCTCTGTCTTTCCTATCCCTGGGAACACCTGTAGCTGATCCATAGGGAGCTTGACCGCCGGGACATTGTGCACCACCGGTGCCACTGGCACGATGGGGACCGGTGGTGGCTCCGCATCTGTGATGGACTGTTTCCGTCGCCGAAAGAACGACGACGTCTTTTTCTGTAGCGTATGCGTGGTGGAATGATGTGATTCGCGTGACGGTGGTGCGGATGATTTCGGCTGCAGTCCGAGCGAGGAGGCGGCCGGTGTTACTGGTGGCGTAGAGATGCTCGGTGTCAATGCTGTCTTGGTAGACCCAAACATCCTCCTGAAGAAGCCTTGCTTTTCTTTTGGCTGCATGGTGGCCTGTGGCGGGACAAGACCCGCCTCTTTTGATTTTTCGTAACCAATGTGTGGAGCAGGAGCTGAGTCGATGTCCAAAACAGGGACAGGCGGTGCATCGCGCACCGTGGTGTACATTGGGTCTGGCTTTCTGGTGATGGTGGCGCTCTTGGACGAGCGGATGCTTCGTCGACGTTCGACACTCGACCCTCTGGATTGGGCCTTCGGCTCGGTAGTCTTGGGTTCGGGCGGCGACATGACGGGCAGCGACGGCACTGTGGTTAGTCTACGCGGGCCGGCTGGGACCGTTGGCATCGGCGCGGCGTCGTACTCATCGTTGTTCTTGTTGAAAAAAGTGTTGGAAAACTCAATGTGCCAGGGGCCTGGTGCTGGCCGTGGTACTGCTGCTTCTGCCGCCCCATCAAAGCTCGATGATCTCCCAAACCCCCTGGCCCATCGCTGGCTGCCCAGAACCTGTGCGTAACCCTGATCGATGCTGTTTGTGCTGCTGCTCTTGCTCCCCTTGCCGCCTCTAGAATGGATTGCCCCCGGTGTCCCCGTCTCGCGCATGCTGTTGATCCGGCCGAGGTTGGACTGGAAGCCTGAGCTGCTGTTGCTGCGGCGGCCGCGCGATGACATCCTGCTGGCGTCGTCTGCCCCTTCGAGGTCGGAGCTGTACGAGTAGCCGTGGCCGGTGCGGCCGGTCCTCGAGTTGAAGGTCATTGTTCGGCTGTTGTCGTCTCCAAACGAGGAAAAGAGGGGATCGTCGTACCCTGGCCTCGACCCGCCAAATGACGTGGTACCACCAACACCTCCTCCAATCTGGCCCATGGACATTTGGTCGAGCGACAGGAGCATGTTGGCCACGAGCGAGTCCCGTGTTACCTGGCGGGCCGGCAGCGAGAGGTCGTGGGAGTCGCGGGGGTCGGGCTGCTTCTTGGAGCGAGACGATGATGGCAGTTCGGGCTGGTGATGTTGCTGGTCCTGGTTCGGCAGTGTCATCTCGTAGGGGATGTCGACGGGCGTGAGACTCTCAAGAAAGGTCTCAATGTCGGCCGTGTCTCTACCCGTGCCTTTGGGCAACCTAAGCGCCCGGCCCCCAGCAGATGAGGCGCTCTCGTCTTGGGAAGGTGTGGGTGTTTCGCGGGCAGGCGGTGTCTGTGGGGGGTCTCGCTGTCTTTTGATTCTCGGGGGGGACGGCGACGTGTCGATAGTCAGTTCGGGCTTCCGTCTGCCGCCTTCTCGGCAAGCCGTGTCGGTTGGATCGTAATCTTGGTACATGTTGTACGGAGTACCTGTCGAGGAAACAGGCGGGTGACACAAAGACGCCCCTTTGACGCCATCCACGGCCAAGCCAATCAACAAGCACTCGACAAGCAGCGCGCACAAATTAGAGATGTTCAGAAGCGCGTAAAGAGTGTGCGTCTGTGTGTCCCGTTTAGGGGAACTGTGCCGTGTGCCCCTCTCGGGCTGCTCTTGAGATTGGAATTGTTTTGCTTTGCCAGGATTAAATTAGGTAGCGGCCATTCGGCAGACGGACGGCTGTGTAAATCAGTGGAGAGATTGCGACCTCGTCTCTTGTTTCTTTCATTCTTCGGCTGCTTCCGTTGCACCGTCATCCTTTGAACAGCGACAAGGACAGCGACAGCGGGCATCCCGAAAATGTCCTCGACTGATGAATTGTTTCAGAAAGAGCTCGTCCAACCACAATCCAAAGCGCGTCTTTCTCCTGCGTCGCGCTGCATCCAGTCCATGCAACCTGACAACGTTGGAGCCCCAAGCTTCCTACTTCTCCTTCTGCGCTAGCCCCGCGGCCATAGCGCTGTCAAGTGCCCCTTTTTTTTTTCTTTTCCTGCAGTGTCTCCCTCAACTCCAATCCCGTTTCACCGATTGACAGCTCCGTCATGCAAGTATCTTTTTCAAGAATAAATAACATGCACATGAACGACATGCACGCTGCAGGAAAAAAACAAACAAATAAAATAGATATATTCCTATGGCCAGCCCGCCATGCGCGTCTGGGGCACGAGTGCGACTTTCAGGGTACCCCACACCGCCTAGTAACATCCTCTACATGACATCGTGGCAGGCTTGACACGATCCGAAGCCCACCGCCTATTCCGGCCTGCCGCGGCCTGCCGGGGGAGAGAAATAAACCGCGCACTCCCTTGTTTCACAATCCGAGCCACGTGGAGGCCGTCGAACCACCATCTCCGATAAACAGCGGCCCCACTTGGCTCGGCAAGCCGGTGGCCCCACTCTGCCTCACCGGCTCCGTGTCTCGGCTCCGGTGGCCTTCTCCGTTACAGCAGGTGGAGGAGTCGAAATAAGGAGAACTGTATTGTATTGATGATTCCCATGAGCACTGGAATCTACGGATATCTCAACTCTCTCAACATCAAGCCATCGTCACATCCTCCGATTCCCCCACACTGACTGAGCAGAACTGCCATCGCCCGTTTCATCCTGCAACCCCCCTACCAGTGCAGAGGATGGTGTGGCCCGAAGTCGCCACCGTTCATCACCACCATCAGATATCTCCCTTGTACCACTTTGTCCACCCCCGAAACTGGATACGGCAGAGCCCGTTCCGCATCTGCTCCGTCCTCATCGGCTTCACTCTCAGGTTGGCAACCTTGTCCATACAGCTCAAGGGATCCTCCAGAAAATCCATCGCAACCTTGAACGCCCCGGGTCGATTGGAAGACGGGTCAAACGTCACGGCTTTGTTGACGAGCTGGTCGTCTCGGTTGTAACCAGTACCTTGGTGCATGCCGATGACATGTCCTCCCTGATCCATCACTGGACTTCCGCTGCTACATGGAGCAACCGCCACGTTGTGATCCATCAACCGCTGGTTCTCCTCCATGTCACAAACAACCTGCGTAGTCCCCTCCCGGACTTCGTCATTCTCGTGACCCGACCGGTCAGGAAGAAGCCCCCGCACAGTAACAGTAATTTTCTCCCCTCGATAAGGCGGGTTCCTATGCTTGAGAGGTCCCTCGCCGTCCACCTCACGATCAAGCCTGATAACCCCCATATCGAACGACTTGTCCCCCACCACGAAGAAAGCCCAGTGAACACCGCAGTGCGTGCCCCTGTACCTCTCCCAGCCGGGTACATCAATCTCCACCGCCTGAGCAAAACCCTCCTTGTGGTTATACACCGCCGCTCCTACCGTCATGACAGTCTTTTGATCAACCAACCACCCCGTGAAGCGATGGTATCTCCTCTCCCCATTCTTGTCGGGAAACAAAGTGTGAACCCGCACAATTTCATCATTCCTCCTCCCCTCGCTCATCCCAGCGGCAACCTCCCTTTTTAACCTCCTCCCTTTTTCTTCTGCTGCACACCGTCCCAATGATGGCTCAGTATCAGTGAGCCCCCAGCAGAGAACATCAGGCGCGAAACCAACCTCCCCTCTTGCGATTTCGATCGTCCCTTCACCGACAGTGAGTAACTCCTCGATGATGGCTTGTAGAATGTCAATCTCCTTCCAGAGCTTGAGATACCTCGCTTTGAAGTCGCCCTCTTGAAGGTCGTTCATGAACTCGATCATGACTCGCAGTTTTTCACCCTGGGCGTTGAACACCTCTACTGGTTGGGCGCGGAGCGAGTTTTTTACTGCGTCGGGGAAGCTGTTGCAAGGGGGGGGAGGGGACCAGGTGATTTCGTGGGTGGTGGTGGTGGAGCCATTGATGAGGGAGATGGAGGCCGTGATGAGGGTGGACAGCTGGTCGAAGCGCTTTTCGATTTGGATGACCTGGAGTTCGAGTTCGGCTGTGTGGTGGGGGTGGGATTTGGTGCAGAGGGTGGTGAGCGAGGGGATGTTGTCTTCGCTTTCGGAGGGGATGGGGAAGGAGGCGAGGAGGTAGGAGAGGAGGAGGGTGTATCGACGGAAAAGGGTCGATGTGGCACGGTGGGTTGGGGTCGTGGTGAGGATTTGGCGGAAGTCTTTAACTTGAAGGTTAGCGAAGGGGTGAGGAACGGAGGTGAAGGGAACGAGACAGACCATATTCAGTGTTGGGTGGTGTGCTGAGTGGGAGTTGAAGGGACACGCCCTCGAAAATTGGGGCGAGTTCGGCGATTTGGGTCATTTTGCTGCCGGAGGTTGTTTTTCGACTCAGGATGTCAGCTCAAAGATTGATGGTCTCTTTGAAGCGAGGTTCATGGCAGTCTAAATATTTTCAAGACTGCTGCCTTGGAGCTCAAGGCCACCTGCACTGCCTGGAGAGCCAAGACATCACCAGTCAGCATGCGTGCATACAATGCAGCATAGCCACCAGCCAGCCATCTCTAGACTGTCGGTGTACCAACACTGGCATCATTAGGCATGGGAAGCCGGCGTTCTCGAATCTCTCTGGAGATAAATATCGCAAAATTGCGCAAGGATGTTCATGATAGGCATTTTGAGAATCCGGGCACTGGAGATATCATTCGCATTTCCAATCTAGATCCTTCTCGCATTTAACCCTTCGCTTTTCCGAGTGCCTCGTGGCTGTGTGACTATTGGGAAACACGTGTTTGTCTCTCCAGAGACGCAGAGATTATCGCCAGTTCACAATCAAACGAAAATGCTTCTCGCTGCTCTAGATAGCCGAGGAGGCATAGGAGCGGCTCCTTCTCGCCAAAGGGACTATCAAAACTTGTTATGCTATCGATGTAAAAGTTAACCCCAAGTGTTGATAGGGGAAACCACCCTACTACGGTACCTGCGGAGAAAAAACAGCTTGTAGGCCAAAAGAGAGACAACTGTGCCTCCAGTGCCTGCATCTTTGTGTCTCTTTATGAGTAGCAAAATGAACCGTGCTTTGGACTTCAAGTCGAACCCGCAGCATGGTATGGGGTGATATCAGGATTAGAGTTTGTAGGCCCAATGATGATGGTTTCTCATCACCGGGAGGCTTGATGGGGGGTGTGCGAGGATGACCAAGTACGCGTATCTCATTGGAAGGACCAAAAAGCTTTCGCAGTATAAGAATCCCATCTGGAGATGAGATAAATCCATTTATGCCGGTACTCACCTAGTCTAGGTACCTACTATAGCCATACGTAGGTATCTAGTTAATCCTCTTGACACAGATGAAAATACTGATTGTGAAACCTTTCCAAACAAGCGTGACATGTTTCCTAGATGGGACTAATAGTCCCAATACTTGAAGAGGTCATGATAGCAAAACCGAAACACCGTCTGAATGATCTTGCTAGATATTTGGTCACCGGTCAGTACCATGTTGCCACGGTGAAGAGAACATGACTATCTCCTGGTTTTGACCAGCTGCCAAAGGCTTGAGCCTCTACGCAAGTTCAAGGGCTGTAAGACCTCGTTCCTCCTACATTGAAAATGCAACTCACCTTGTCCATTACACCTACTACCAGTCTTTGCAGGTCGCTAGTTTACTGCCACCACTAGGTATTCACAACACGAGCACCCCAGCTTCCAAAGTCATATGAACATCAAGACAAGCTTCCCTGCTCGCCTATCTATCATCCTCAAAAGATTGACAGCTCAACTCTGCTAATCATGAAGTCCACAAAGACGTGGCCCAGGGCTCAAGAACGGCCAGACCCACAAAGACGAACCACGAATCCAAGACCAACAACGTCGACATACTACTTCAGACCTCCTACCAGTCGGCACGTCGAAGCAGAGGTACGACGCATGAACTCGCCAGCACCGGCCAGCCCCGACGCCCCCTGCAACTGCGATATAGGAAGGGCGATAGACGATCTCAAAGCGGTATACACCCAGGCTTTTCAGGACTATCAGGACCTAATCGAGACACGCAAGGTGTATGGGAAGGGCACTATGATGCAGTCCATGAAGTCAGGAGACATGGATCTGGTGAATATCATGCTCAAGATTCACGGGTATTTCGATCTTACCTGTGGATTGTTGATAGAATGGATCAGGGGAATACTGGGAGATCCATGCAAACTTGATCTGTCAGACAAGGAGGATCTCTGCAAGCGAGAGGAAGATCTCAAAACAATAAGGTGGCTCACCGTGAAGATTATTGAAGATCTCAAGAAGGACAAAGAAAAGTACGGAAAAGTACTTGGGCGCGGAAGGTCTTGAACCACGATAACAGAAGGGAGCCAGGAAGGTGATTTGGGATACGCAGGTTCGAGTTGATATTGGCATGTAGGTAGGATAGCGAGAGAATAAACTGGGCAGGCCTATTTTTCATGACAACCTCAAACAAAGACGCAGCGGGTCAGAGAAGCATGTATGAAAGCACAAGCCATTCGTCATTCAATAACAAAGCTACACCTCAAGACCTCACTATCACCCTCAACCTGGCCTTGACTTTCACCCCCTGCCAAGTTGGCACCCAGGACCATCCACCAAATGTCCACCCTAACCAATAACAACATTAACCTTGAGGTTATTCCCGCTCGTCACCGTGTAATTAAACGAATACTTCCTCCCATCCCTCGTGACCTCATACGAAGACAGCGTCTTCCACCTCGCATCAACACGCTCCTTCTTCTGAGTGCCGCCCCACTCAGTCTCGTAGTACTCCGGCGTGATGACAACACCAGTCTGGCTGGCAGGGTCCAGCTTGGTGACGATGTCGCCCCACGGCTTGTAGTTGTGCACGCCGAGGGTGACGATGAAGTTCTCGCCCGTGTCGGCCACGAAGCGGAGCGAGCCCGAGGTGCCGCTGGCGCCGATGGTGAGGACTTGGGCGCCTTTGACCTCGTCCCAGGTGCCGTTGCGGAAGACGGTGCTTTCGGCGAGGTGGAAGAAGGCGTTGGTTTTGGTCTGGTAGACCTGGACTGTGATGGTGTAGGACATCCTGGTGAAAGTTGGTCAGTCAGGGGAAGTATGGCAAGAGCCGGAGGAAAAGGGGAAAGAACTGACCTTGCTGGCTGAAAGTCGTGTTTCAAGGCTTGGAAATGTGCTGAGTTCGAATGGCTGTGACCTCGAGTTGTCCGATGATTCTCAACTTCATGTTTTCCGAGCCGACAACGACCTACTTATAAATCAGGGAGATGGCCTGTGCTACGATCTCCCCAGGTTCTGAATTTCATGATCTATTCCAGTTCAACCCAATAGATCCCCTCCCTTAAGGCTCACTCTCCATTGACTCAAATTTTGCAGATACCCCGCGCCTGGGCCTGTGCGTCTTGGGGACGTGGCTGGCTGATCTCTCATCGCGACTTGCCGTGTAACAGCATCGAGGTATGGCTACTTCTGAGGTCCTAGACGGACGGCGGTACGACGGTCAACATGTACGATTTGGCCAGTCGAAAGCCGGCCCTGAGTATGACGGAATTTCTCATGATTCGAGCGTGCGTAAAAGGCGGCCGAAGAAACAGACCAGTTTCAGGGAAGCTAGGTCTTTTCCCAGGTTGGTTCATCGGTTAGCCGCAAAGTGCAGAATACAACTACGGAGAAAGCTCTGTTGTGATTTGTTAATCTAGGCAGTCATTAGTCTTTTGGTATTGATTACCTGCCGTGGGCATCTACCTTGCTTGAGCTATACTTCTGTTTTCCATGACGGTTCTCTGGTAGAAAACTAGGGTTGAATGATACATGTATGAGAGGAGCCCAAATCGGACGCATGCAGTCGAGCCAAGAGGCGCGCCGCATGTTCTGAGCTATCATCTGTCTTCCTACCTAACTCCGAACATGCACTTCTGGGCTGTTGTGCCAACAAGACAGTATCGTTTGGTGGCGTCGAGTTTGAAGCTGAACCGTCCTAGAAGAGAAGATAATCTGAGTAGAAACGCAATGTCGATCAAACAAATGCAGTGTAGTGGGTCGATATGTTGTGATTTGTCGACAGAGCGGGGAAGTATTGAAAAGGCTTGAACGGCAGGATTGGAATAGGGCTTGGGAAAGACGGCCGGTCATGAAAATGCTGGCCAGATTGGCATTATTACATTACATAAGATTAGTGATAGGTATTTGTAGACTTGACCTGTTGAAGCGGAAGTTAATACGACGCGAGTGGAATCAGGTGATTTATGGCTGGGGTTCTTACGTTTCGGAGGTTGAAGAGGTTCAGTTCAACCATATTTAACATCATGTGGCCTAAAGTTCGTGATAGCTATGTCTTAACATTACGATGTAAGACGGCCCGATCCCTTGTGTAGCCTCAGTCGATCCAATAATTTTATCCTTTTACCTAATACTTACCACGTATCCAACCACCTGCATCCTGCTGTGTCTCTATGCCAATACATTGCATGGTGTATATGCTTTAATGATACCCGGTATGCTTGTTGGGTTTTTGGAGACGAGTTAAAAAAGCCGTAAAAGCACTGAAATATTAACTTGCAAGGCGGGAAAGCTCATTGAATTTGTTGTCCTTTAAACGTAAAAGAGCCGTGATCTCTGAGGTGGTGATAAACTGTGGCTTAATGATGATCAAGTTCAAGGTTGACCTACGAGGGCTGTTTGTCGGTACATAGGTGAGCGTAACGACAAAGAAGCGGTGCTTAGCCGTTGTTCAGAAAACCTCGCCATCAACCAGAGTCAGGTGTTAAGTAAGGCAAGGTGTACCTAACTCCTCAGAGCCCAAGGGTTGCTTTGAATCCTGCGTCCACCACGCAAATATCATGAAATCCTGGTGTTTTCCTCTTGGGTGGTGCACTTCCCGCAATGTTCGGTCTCGCTGGAATGTTGGATAAGAACTTTTGCCGCATGCTGTTGCTCGAACCCATCCTTCCGCAGCCTCCGGCTGGCTGACTGGCAACCACTTCGATTTGTCGTGGCGGTCTTGGCTGCAACTATTTCTATCATGCTCTCAAAACGGCAAAAAGATGCCGCTTGGGCATGTTGCTTGTTCTCTCAATCAGAGAGAGTCCATCAGATGTCCTTGAAAGCCCGAGTTTGCCATGCCGATAAACCCGAATAGCTTCACCGGGAGAAGCATGACGTGGCTCGAACCCCCCAGGATAAAAGATGGTCGGGCGATGAACATAGAGGCTCTTTCCGACCAGCTCGAGTCTGTTCGCTCGAATATTCAACAGTACGCCGCCACGGTGTTCGAAACGTTCCCGAATCCAGACTCCAAACGAGAACGCCATCAACTCGAGCGAATGCCAATGAATAATGAACTCTAGAACCGCGTTACAACAACATTCATCCACCTAGTTGCCGTCCAAGAAGCGGCCATCGGGTTAGGGCCCACAGTTGAGCGCGCACAGAAGACAGGGAGGAGGGTTGTTTGCCAACCCATGATCAACCTTCGACAGTACTTCGATGAACCTTGTGTGAGACTAGCGAGGATAGTCAAAATGAAGCTTTGCCAAGTGAAAGAACGGGCGAAGGCCGCTGATAATCTGTTGTGGAAGGAGGAGAAAGGACGTGGGACGTGGGCAAGCAGGTTTGAGTCTGAGAAGGCAAAAGTGGAGAGGCAGATGAAGGTGCAAGCGGTAAAGTCGGAGCTGCCGACTGACCTGAAGCATCTAGCATTTCTCCAGAAAATGTACAAGTCCCTCGATGAAATCGATCTCGAGAATAAGGTCGCCATTGCGTATTTGCAGGGGTGAACGAAGCCTTCGAGCCACGATCAGATGGCAAGGGGTAAAGGGCGTTAGACAGCTGCAAAGGCACGACAAAGTTGGCCCCCTGATGCAACACTGGGTGTTGCAGCATATAAAAGGCGAGATTGGGAAGGTTTTGACAGGCACAAGGAGTAGCACAGGAAGAGCAGGATGAACAGGTATCTCCTCACAGTGATTGTCGTTAGCAATATAATATTCAGAGAACTGTCTCTCCCATCCATGTATTTTGAAGAACATGTTAATGCTGAGCAGGTCTCAGCCAGGCGGACGACTCATCAATATATATGGCGACCAATCATCGCCGACAACACAGACCGTTCAGCGCCCTTTCTGTGGTACCGCTTGCGAACCAAATTTTACTTCTTTTATTTTTCGCGAGCACGCAGACACTCAACCGTCTGCTCACACGAGGACAATGCTCGCTCGCGACAAATTTTCGTCCCAACATCGTCCAAGCCAAGTAAATTGTTTTCACTAAAATTTCCATTTCTACTTGCTAATTGATATTGGCATATAGCACATCTCAGTCACAAAAGTCTCGCCACCATGGCACCCAAGTCGATCGAGGAGGCGAAGAACCGAGCGGAGCAGGGGATTCAGAAATCCTGGGACGCAATGGGCTCTCTGATGGGTCTTGTCGATGACCTTGATTCCTTAAACCAGGAACTCAAGCGAATTCTCGAGGGCTACAAAAACATACCCAACAACATGACCGAGATACCCATCCCACCTGGGTTCCGCCAAGGGGCCATCTTGTTCCAAAACAGGAACCTACGCCGCCGGCGGACAGTCGCGAACAGGGAATTTCGAGCCAACTGTTTTGAGAGATATAATCGGACAGGGACATGTTCAATGCATTGCCGAGACGATGAACAAGGCTGCTGACGAGGCGTTTGAAACTCCCGGAATGTCTGAGGATTGTAAGCTTCGGTTCTACACCAAACGCCAATTCATACACGGCGAATACGCTGAGGTTCGGGAGAGGCTTGGGGTGGTGGTTACGGAATGGCAGCAGGTCAACAGTAATTTGGCCACACTGCTTACAAGGCCGATCAACGGCTTGCGAGTATGAGTTGGGTGGAATAGGGACTGGCACTTTATCCTCTAGACATAGGGAAGTGCATGGAGCTGCAGGGCTGGCTTGGGATCGGGTTGTTATTTTTGTCTTCGAGACGAGGGAGATGGAACTCACCGGCGGGCAGCAAGACAATAGTCTTTATCGTTCTTTGTCTACCTCCTGGGTTGTTCTCAACAATGCATTATCTCCCGCATATATCTTTGTTTGAAGGGTCTATGCATAGCACAAAGAGACTGTTCTGTCAGGTCCTTGAAACCACTGTCCCCCCTTCTTTTCCGCGGGGCGGCTTGCGTTCTTGATTGTATTTTGCGTTTATTCCTTCGTTTCCATTCAATTCAACCATAAACACTCTACCTTCCAGTAAGGTATTCCAGCATTAGACAGAGAGACAGGTGAGTGACTTTCCGCATCGTGTATCTCTTTTTCCCTCAGGATATCCAAAGACTTCATCAGTATCTACACTCTCTTTTACTGACACCAGGATTTCCAATCCCGAAAAACAACAAAACCAAAAGAACTAATATCCAAATTCCAAAATGTACAACCCATCATACGACCCAATGCTCAGCCGCCCACTCACACCCGACGAAAGCTTTCACTTTCTCAAACTCAACCCCAACCTCGCCCTCTTCATCCCAGTCCCCGAGTGCACCTGCTGCCTCTTCTTCCAGTTCTACCAGTGCGGATGCCCCGACAACCAGTCCCACAACGGCATCGGCCTCTTCGGCGAGCTACTTCGCTTCCGTAACCCAACGCAGTTTGCTTGCCTGTACAGGTGCCCCATCCATTTTCTCCCCCAGGCTGCGCAGACAATCCTCCACAATCGCGGCTTCCGCCACAGGAACGACCCCCTGCCCGTCGCTCAAGCCCCCGTCGAACTCCCCTTTCCGTGCTACAAGCACCAAGAAGAATGCTCATACAGAATCTCAAAGAAGGCAGCCATGAATATCCGGCCGTCCCTGGGACATTCGAACAAGATTAACAAGCTCAAGCGGAAGCAAAAAGCAAAGAGGGAGGTTGATTGGGTCAAGAAACACAGAAAGGCGCTGAGGGCGTTTGTGTATGAGCACACGCCCCTACAGGAGTTCAACAAGCCCAAGGTCATCCACCCTGCCGACCAGGCATTCATTGGAACATGGGATAAAATTGTACGGCCACCTGTCCATGTCAAGCTTGAGAGTGAGGACTGGTTCCTTGATGAGCAAAAGACTGATTTGGACAATGACGACGCCGCGAACGGGAGCAAGGTGGCGGATATATTCTACCCCGAGATTGGTCCGCTTGGGAGCGGCAAGTATGAGGCTGGCGCGACGGTGCTGGATGAGATGATGATTACTGCGATATCGCGGAACCAGTGGAGGAGGAGGGGGTATCCGTGGGAGTTTGTGCATAGGGATCGGAACATGGGGGAGATGGTGTGGAGTATGGATTGAGTAATCATTCCATGCGCAAAATTAGCTTCTTCCACCACGAGCTGGTCTTGAGGATGGGAAGGAGGGAGGAGTAAAAAGGTGGGTTTTGACTTACATGCATAGCGCGGTGTTTAAGGTTTCAGTTTTTTATGGACTAGACAATGCATAGAGAATTTGGAGGGATGTTATTACATCCCGACATAATGATAAACATTAATATCACATTCAAATAATCCCCTCTTTGAGCAGTGCATAATAAGTTTATCAAATCAAAGATGTGCTCCAGTACCTAATGCTCCTGTGTTACGCGTTGCCAATCGCCACTCCCTCTTTCAAAGGCAGCAAGCAGCCCCTCTGCTCAACGGGCAGGCAACAGAGGTGGGGCACGACAGGTTTCCCAACATCCACCACCGAAAGCTCGGGTTCAAAGCAACAGCCACTTTCACTCACTCTGATCATTTAGGACCCCAATATTCTATTCAAGGGCCGCAACCTGGCTTTGGACGATTCCGAGCATCATACAAGCTCGACTATCATTGCTGCACCATGAGCGGTGCTTCTTGCTTCTGCGCCATCTGTGGGGGCCCGTTTGGGGACATTGTCTTCAGCCCACCCCATCCAGATGACCAGCCCGGGTCAGACGACGAGAATGATGACTGGAACGGATCAACAACCCAGTCAGACGTTGCTTGGAGCGGCCCCGAGGATGACTCTGACGACGACGACGACCAGTCCCAAAATCAAGATTCGATTGATACCGACAGCAACTCACACACGAGTGAGCATGCGGCCATTGAGGTCTCTGACGATATGGAGGAGGACGAGGCCACCCACCCCGAAGATGAGGAGGATTTCTCCGAGTCTGGTGAAAGCAATCAGGAAGAAGCCGACATTGGTTTCGACGATATGGCCCCAAGTGAGGGCTCGATCCAGAGTGAAGATGAGGAAGCGCTTGAGTTTAACGAGTTTCGTTTTGATGACACTCACTGGTCCGAGGAGCCAGGAACCGGATATGATCGAAAGATCTTGAGGCCTCGCCATGCTCACTGGATCATGACTGTATATGCCCTAGGTTGCAACGTGGAGGCACCGGGCCCATCCAAGTCAGTCACTTATGTCCTTCTGCTGGTCTGATCGGCGTGATACTAACATTCTATATTAGATGCTATTTATCTGGCCGGGGCGTGGCCGATTGGCACCTGGGCACGGTAACGTTCACACCAGGACCAATCCGTCTCCGTGACCCCAACTATCCGCGTACCCGGGGCCGCCGTCGATCTCGTCTAGATGTTGTCACCTACATTGACTCTACGTTTAGAGACTCGATAAATTGGGTGTATCCAGTACACATGCCCTGCCTCAAAATTCTTTGCCAGGTCCTGACCGGCCAACCCGACCCCTACGGAAGTTCAAAGCTGGACAAGGATGCATTATTCTTTGCCATGAACAAGTTGTCCGACTGGGCAGGGGGAGCGCTGAATATCACGTATTTTAAAGACCGGCCACTGATTCCAGAGTACTGGCAATCTCTACCGGGAAATGAGTACATCCACGCCAATCCTTTCTCCACGGACTGTCCCCATCGCGATCAGGTTTTGGCTCTTGTTTCAAACGCCATCAAGACCTCCCAAGACAGCAAGTATCTCTTGGACGACCTCACCGACAAGGTGAAATCCGACCGCTTCAACATGCTACCTTACGATTTGATCCACATAATTTCATGCTTGCTGCCTGACCGGGATTTGTTCTCGCTTTGTTGTGCGTCTTACATCGTCCACAAGAACCTTGAGGAGAATGAGAACTTTTGGCGTTATCGTCTGGCGAAGATATCGATGCCTTGGTTTGATGAGGCCTTGGAAGTCTTGTCGTCCCTTGGCAATGAGGATGTGTTGCAAGTCAAATATTGGAAGGGGCTTTTACGTACCCTGCAGAAGCTGCTTGCCTCTAAGAAATTGGGCAAGCAAGGGCCGCTAATGGGCGTGTATAATCGAAGGAGGATCTGGGCGTGTTGCCAGCGCATTGGGAGGGAGTACTTTAAGAAGGTGAGGGAACTGAGAGAAAGGGGGTGTGAGGCGGTGATTAAGGATATTGAGAAGTAGGCCCTTGAAGATAGCAAACAGATCTTCAAGGTAGCGAATAAGTATTAAACATGTATTTTAGGCCTTCAGCGATAGTCAAAAAACTTGAAAAATAGATAGAGGATTTTTCCATCGTATTTTACCCCCTTAATTCTACTTTGCATTCTCTAACTATATGTCCACGACGTAAAACAATACGCAAAGTCAAAATCCAACCGTTGATTTTCTCTCTTCCATCCCTGAGATCATTATCTTTCTACCTACGCCCACCCCAAACCCCTAAACCTCGCAAAATTCCTCTCCGTATCCGCATCCACAAACGCGTGCGCCTCCCTGACAGTGATATCACCCCCGTGAACCTCCACCACCTGCCCATTGACCTCCTTCCCACCCTTGACGAACCTGTCTACCGCTTTGATGAGCGTTTCCATCGGTGTGATGACCATACCGTCGTATAGTTTCCTAGGCGCGATATTTGTTTCTGCCGGGCTTTCAATCAGCAACAAACCTCTCGGGAGAGGGAGGGACACAAGGTAGGTACCTAACACCGCCGGCGCGAGCGCGCAAATCTTTATGTTTTCTTTCTCTACCAGCCCAGCGACAGATCGCACCAGGCCGACGACCCCGAATTTAGACGCTGCGTAGAGGGGTGCGGTGGGGAGGGGGTAGAGGCCTGCGTTGCTTGCTGTGCAGAGTATCAACCCCCGATCTCCCTCTTCTGATGGTTTTTGGTCCATGTAATAGATCGCGAGTTTGATCGCTATCATGTGTCAACCTGTTGTCCGGTGAGGTAGCATGCTGGGAGACCTACAGTACACCACACCCGACAAGTTGACCTCCAAACAACTCATATCCGGCTTTTTCGGAGGGTGCGACTTGTCACCGTCCTGCTCAACAACAAGCGTGGTGAACCCCCGTTCTGAAACGCCTGCGTTCGCAACCACGACGTCGACCCTACCCCCAAACTCACCGTCGTAAAGGGACGAAAACACTGATGCCTGTGCCTCCCAGCTGGAGACATCGCAGGCGTGGAAAAAGAATTCTGTGTCTGGGTACTGCGTCGACAGGGAAGTAACGAGTGACGGGCCAACCGAGGAGTTGATATCTAGCATTGCAATCTTTGTTGGAATGGAGGAGGAGGACGAGGCAAAGTAGTGCGTTATTGCCAGGCCTATGCCAGAGGTGGCGCCGGTGATGATCACGTTTGGCATTTCTTCAGCTCTGACAAGACGGCGAGGATGAGATAGGTACTGCTGGGTGTTGGAAAACGGGTCACAGTGAGCAGCTAAAGATGGAAGCTGGTAATGAAAAGCTGGATATGAAGAAGAAGCAAGATACCCATCAATATATTCCCCGCATCAACACCCTCACACAAAACCCCAACTCTCCGGCCCAAGGTTCCCAATAAGCCCAGGTACCCCGGGACATGCCATCCAACCTTCCCCGCATGATCGATCAAATTAAACACATACCGGCAGTTAATCAAGTTCCCGTTCGGACATCATGCAGGAACCTAGGCCGCACACACCAGGTTGCTTGGCCTTGAAACTGCAATACCTATAATAAAATAGTCACCTTACACCACCAAATGACCACCTTAACGATGACAACACGAAAGGAAAGATAAGATAAATCATCAATCATACCTCATTAAACCGTAACATGCTGGGCTAAAAGAAGATCCGTATCTACCCTGTCCACCACACGATAACTCAGCCAACGCCACAATGCCCAACAATCCACAAAAACCAAACTCTCAAAAAGACCTCATAATTAGAAAGACAAAAATACTATATACAGAAGCCACACCCGACCGCGCTTGCTCTTCTACCACAACGTTGCCGGCCGCCAATGTCTTGTGTGCTGCCGTCCAAAAGTCCAACAACCCACAAAACCGAGCTTTTTAATCCTACCCGACCTAGCCATCCTATAAACTCCCAAATCCTCCGTTTTGCAATGTCTGTTGTATTTGTCTGGGATATATTTGCTTGCTTTGCTGTGGAACACGATGCTACTTGTCATGGAGCGAGGATCGTTTACATCACAACCTGTTTCTTTATTAGCACATGCCATCTCGAGACTGCACCAGCCCAAAGAAAACTTACACAGTCACCATCATTCTTCCCCTGCGGAATGCCCATCTCCTCAAATGTCGCGGGCCCCTGACCCATCGTCTTTCCATCGGGATGATCGGTCTTAACAGGTGGTCTCCCGGCGGCAGGTCTCGGTCCAGAAGCAGTCGAACCCGGAGTTCCCGGCCCCGGACTTGGTCTGGCCGCCGTTGCACCACCAGGGGGCGCACTAGCACGCCCGCCGTCATGAGCATGCGATGACACCGGCCTACCGTTATTGGGAACTGGTCTCCCGCTTGCAGGCATGCTCTCCACTCTGTGCGCGTCTGGTCGCAGATTCGGGTTTGGCAATGGTACCCTCCCAGCAGCAGCAGCTGGGGGTCCAGCACCATAACGATCGTACCCGCCTTGAGGTCCGTAAGCGTCACTGACAGGGCGTTGGTTGGGGCGCCCACCACCAGGCGGACCATAGTCTCGCCCCGGCTGCAGCCCGGAACTGCCCTGGGGTGGGTACTTGCCACCTGCAGGGGGATACTGACCCGGAGGAGGTCCTTGAGTGAGGGGAGGTGGAGCATTCGGGTTCGGCTTCTGGAGCCGTTGCCTCGTCGGATCGCCGATAGGTGGCATCCCAACGGGAGGAATGCCAGGCCCCGGAGGCCCATACCGTCCGTCTTGCTGCTGAGGTGGATACTGTGCACTAGGACCCGGACTAGGGCGTCTATAGTTACCGGGAGCACCTTGGGGACCCCAGCCGCCGTTAGGAGGCTGTCCAGACATGGGACGACCGCGATCAGGAGGAGCACTGTGCATGCCGTTTGGCGATAAAGGACGGATACCGAAAGCAGATCCGGGACGGTCCGCATGCGGTCCAACAGGGAGACGACCAGCCGCCGGGTTCAAATGAGGACCACGCATATCATCCTCGGGATAGGGCGCCGCTGACTTTGGCCTAGCATTCAGCGGTGACGGGTTGTCTTCGAGGGGATACGGCGCTGCACTCTTGGGGCGCAGCGCAAGGTTGTTCGGGTCTACATTTACCCCAAAAGCAGGAGGTCGAGGGGTAGGGTCTGGGAAGTTGACTCGGTCTGGTATTCCTGTTAGTCGCTGCTGGTGATAGTTGCGGAGAGCAAAAGCATTAGAATTAGAGTAAAGAAAATGGGCCGCACCAGGCGGGGGTGTCACCGTCTCCCCAAGTGTAGGCAAGACCTCGTTCTGTCTTGCAAATCTGTCTGGCCGTTTGCCGCGCTGAGAGCCATGCTGGGACTTGATTCGAGTGAGTGTTGTTGTTTCGTGGTCAGCCTTGGTCAGTGTCTTAGACTGGCTCAGTGACTCGAGTCTGTCCTTGGCGTCCTTGTTGCCATGCTCGGCTGCGAGCTCGTACCACTTCCTGGCTTCTCTAACGTCCTTGGGAACGTGGATGCCGATTTCGTGGTAGTAACCCATGGCGAACTCGCCCGTTGCCAGTCCAGAGACAGCCGCTTCCTGTGCATACTTGAAAGCCAGCTGCTCGTTCTTGGCAAAGGCGCCTTCGTAACCAAAGAGGAACCAGCGACTGACACCGAGGGCGGCTTCTGGCTGGCCTTGGCGGGCAGCGAGACCATAATAGTGAAGCGAGTAGGCAGGGTTGAAGTCACAGCCAAGCTGGCTCAACTCATATGCCTGTCCCATCTTCAGCTGAGCCTTGGCAAAGCTGAGATAGGCCGCCTTTTCGATGTACTGTCGGGCTACCGTCAGGTCGCACGGCAGGATGCTCTCGGGAAGGGTGATGTCGGGCAGTTCCCGAGCGATCAGCATGCCGTACACATATGCACCCTGAGGGGCGTCTTCGTCGGCCGTGTCGGCTGCGTGCTGAATCATTTCCAACCCCTGCAAATAGTCCTTTTGATGGCCGTGCTGTCCCATCAGGTGCATCATGCCGAGGCGGTAGTTGGAGGCCGAATCCTTGAGCTTGACGCCGAGGGTGTAATGCTTGATGGCGTTTGCGATATCATTCGAGTTTTCGTACAGCATGCCCATGCGGTATTCGGCCCTACCGTACCCATTTTCGGCCGCCTTCTTGTACAGCGAATACGCCTCCCGCTTGTTCTCTCGGAATCCGAACTTGCCAAACTCGAGCCATTTTCCTTTCATAAAGTTTGCCTCGGGGTGGTCCTGCTGGGCGAGGTAGTCGATGATGCTGACGGCGTCTATTCGCAGGTCGTGTTCCGTCTTTGGTGTCGCGGGCCTCTCCTTCCCCTTTCCTTCCCGCTTCCATTCCCTCTGCGCGGCCTCCTGGGCGACCTCGACCCAGATGAGGGTGTCGCGGGCCCAGGTGACCTGCATCGACACATTGTTGGAGTGGAGGACGAGGTTGCGCGCCTGCCACAGAATGCCCTCCTTCTCTTCGTCGCTGGGCGGGATGTTCTCGCCCTTGACCTTGGGAAAGGGGGAGAATGATGGGACGTCCATTGTGGTGGAGCCGGCGGCGCTGGTCTGGAAGGGTTTGAAACTAGATTCGGGGGGTTGAGAGAGTCAGCGCGCTGTATCCTGTACTGTAGTGTAGGCCTTTGGCCTGATCCACCGCGGACGTTGCGTGGGGCCCCTTCAATCGCAGCGGCTTCATTAAGCTTGCGCTTGGGGGGTCGAGAGAGAGGGGATCAACTTACGCCTTTGCGTCGCCGCCACGGGGGTTGAGTGATGTCGAGTTGCTTTCTCTTCGGGATTCGCGAGCTTCTAATTCCATGCGTTGAATGTCGTTTTGCATGTTCTGGGGCACCTCAGGCATTACCCTGCAAGATGATCCGAGATTGTCAGCCTCCGCCTTGCCAGCTTTCCTCAGCCTCCGTCCGCGTCTGGCGCTCCACGTCAAGCCTTGTCCAATCGGTCCAGCCCGGAGATGGAGGCCGCGCAAAGGCGCACAGCACAGCAGGATCTGCGGATGGTATTTGGGAGTCCCGGACTTGGATGAGACAGGGCGCAGGAACAGAGTGAGTAAGTAGAAAAGGAGGCAGGCTTACCGTTGAGGGGCAGGCGCAACGACCTCTGGCGGCATGTAGTAATCATCGTACCCGCCTGGGACGAAAGTCGCAGTGAACTGTGGCATCTCGACTCGAGACTTGTCGCCTGACGGCTGACCCGAGCCTGCATGAATTAGCCAACCAAGCAGTCAGCAAACAGCAATCCAGCCCAACCCGGCGTTGTTCTTCTTCCCGCTTCGGAATCCGTCTGTGCAGGTGCTGGGTTCCAGCGATGGCGGGGATTTAGGGCCTGGCGATGCAAAGGAGGGGCGCCAAGAAACAGGTTACAAGGCGACGATGTTTGCCAGCCAGAGGGTAGGACAGCGACGGTCAAAAGTAAGGAGCTGGTGTAGCGGTTCAAGCAGCTAGATAAAATGCGACGGGAGTTGGAGAAAAGCGAGGTGCTGTGGCCGTGTGTGTGTGTCCTCCCAGTTGTCAATCGTTGCCCGTGTTCATAGATGAGGGGGGGCAATTGTTGGCTGTTCCTCTTCCCTCCTCCAGGAGTGGGCAGCGAAGCAAAAAGGCAAGCAGCGGATAGGCCGACAGAACCTGTCATGAAACTCGGAGCAACAAGGGCCCCGGTTTGGGGATTTTGTGATCCTTTTCTTTTAATCTGGTACACTGTGCTGCTGCCGCCCTCCCGCCGTCTCCTCGCAGTCGAGCGGTTGTGTTGGTGAGCTGCTCTGTTGCATCAAAGGCGCGCCCCTCCTTGGCGATGGATGGTGATTACTGGGATCCCATGTTTCTCCCCTTGGCTTCTGGCTAGCTGCCATCTGGTCCAGCGAAGGAAGGATTCCATGTACTGCGCCCATAGTAGAACCCGATCCGCAGATGATTCCCGGAGTGTGCTCAGAAGCGGGCATGGAAAACGGTTCACGTACCTGATATTCGCGACATCTTAGGGCCAGTCGTTCCCATGGTCGGCATCGAAGTCGTTACGGCTTGCCCCGCGTATTGGTTACCCCAGCGTGGTGCTGCCCAGGACGTCATTGCGACAGTGATGGTGGGGTTGACAGTGTGCTAATGCGCTCGCGGGAAGTGGCCTGCAGGTCGTCGATGGTGGGGCAGAAGAACATTCTCTTGTACTCTCTTGTTGATTTGAGTCTTTGAAGACTCTTCAAGATACGCGGCGAGGTGTTAGTCGATAGGTCATATAAGAACAGCGGGTGATACCTCAGGAAATATAGGATATTAAAGTCTTGGACCTAGAAGCTCTTGTGCGGCCCAGCTCAAAGAAGTAGCACACGGAGCTGAGCTCTAAACGGCTGAAAAGGAAAGAAGAACCTTGGAATGCCGCGTGTTGGCATGCAAGGAACAAGGGCGTTCCACTGAAATTTAAACCAAGCGTCTCTTTGAGGTTTGGACTGAGGCGAAGCCCACGAGATCTACCATCTCGAGCCCTCCGTGATGGGTACGAATGTGTAGCGAAATATTCTGAGTTACACACCATCTTCTCTATGTTTCTTCAGATCTGCCTGGTTCTGCTTGATCGGGACTGGGCATCACGAGCCGAACCGTGAAAAAAGCCTCGTTCTTACCAGGGTCAGCAGCCCAAAAGGTGATATCAAGGTTGACACCCTACCCTTAACTCGGCACCGTCCCATGTTTATAACAGCATGTTTGGTTGCTTACTGATACACCGCATGCTAGAATCCGTGGTACAGCTTAGAGACCAACTTCAACCACTGTGATCTTGGCAAGAGTTACCGCCGTTTCTTCCTTCTTCCAAAATGGTGCACTGGTAGGAAACCGGCGGTGGCTGATACTTTGCTGAAGCCGCTAACGACCTCGTGATGAGTCTTGTCTTCGAAGCTCAAAACCTGAGCCCCCGGATTGCCACTCAAAACTCTGAAATAGATTTCTCTGCACTCATGAGGTCAGTTTCGCGGCTTGCAGCATGATACCAGTGACCATGTGTGGTGACACTCCAGGGCTTCAGGGTTGATGCAAGACATTCTTGCAGTGGAAGAACCCTTGGCATGTGAAGTCGGTCCCAGCTGCCGACCAGCTGCCAGCTTCTACCCCAGGCTCCCAAGAGCTCCCAATGCCAAGGCGGCAGCACAGGGCACGTAGGACGTCAGCCTTTCAGCCTGCAGCTGCCAGCGGCGGACTCCAACAGCCTCACCACCGATAATCGATATTGACAATCACCATCACCACCCAAACTACCGCTGCCAAACATCCACCCGGCATTCACCCCGATTAACTGCACACTTACCGAACGACGACGATACCAATCGAACATCGAATTGAATAACTAATCTACATCTCCAACCCAACAACCATCGCCCTTTCCCCCAAAGGCACCTCCCATCGACAGCTCCCAAAGCTCCCATCCACCACACCCATCCTCAACCATGGCCGACCGCCAACTCACCACCCTCCTCACCCAACTCCGCACCCCCTCCCTCCCCTTCCCCCAATCCACCACCCTACTCTCAAAAGCCAAACTCCTCCTCCTCCAGCTCTCAGCCCTAACCCCCTCCCCCACCATCCTCCCCGCCAACCTAACCCTCGCCCGCGAGGTCTACGAGCTCGGCGCCCTCCACTCCCTCCGCGCCAAAAACCCCGACTCCTTCACCCGCTACGTCTCCCAGCTCCAGCCCTTCTACGAGCTCCCCCCTTCTGCTTTCTCCTCCCCCTCCCAAAACCAAAACAAAGTCACCGCCCTCTGGCTCCTCTTCCTCCTAACCCAAGGCCGCTACACCGAGTTCCACTCCGACCTCGAAGGCCTCTCAACCCGCGGTTCTGTCGCAGAAGTGGAAAACGACAAGTTTTTGGGGTACCCCATCAAGCTGGAGAGGTGGCTCATGGAGGGGGCGTATGACCGGGTCTGGAAGGCGATGAAGAAGGGGGAGGTTCCGAGTGAGGAGTTTGGGGTCTTGTGCGAGGTTTGTTCCCCCCTCCCTCCCTGATCCGTAAACAGAATGCTAACATCAACAAAAAGGTATTGACCCCCCAAATCCGCCGAGAAATCGCCTCATCCTCCGAGCGCGCCTACCCGTCCCTCCCCTTCCTCTCAGCCCAGTCCCTCCTCTTCCTCGACTCGGAAGGCGCCGTCGTCGACTTTGCCCACAGCCGCGGTTGGGTCATCAAGGATAGGACTATTTACTTCCCCACCGCCGCCGAGCTCAACGCCGACGAGGAAGGGGAGCAGGAGCAGGAGAAGGAGGTTGGCCAGATGGTGATTGAAAACACGCTGGGGTACGCCAGGCAGTTGGAGACGATTGTGTAAGGGGGGGGGCAGGCAGACGTTGGAGAAGAGAGAGGCAGGCAGGCGCATGGAATTGGGACAGCGTCGGTCACAAAAAAAAGACAAGGCCAGACACCAAAGAGAGCGTTTTGCTTGCTGTATTTAATATTGCTAGAGAGGGGGCGATGGAGATGATAGATGAACAAACGACATACACAAACCATGCACAAAGCGTTTTCTCTCACTTAAGATTCCATCATGCTTACTTATTTTTGACAAACAACATCACTCAACAACTAACAAATGCCACTACTTACTCCATAGCTTTATCACAAAAAGAACAACAACAAGAATCCCTTTACTCGCCAGCGTCCAAAAAAATAAATCATTCACCCTTTGCTACCAACCACACACACTTTCTAATGTGAGAAGAAAAATCCCCAACCAACCCCCTTCCTTCCTTCCCCCCCTTTGCTTTTCCGCTCCCCCGTTTTTGACAAACGAAAAGACCTAACAACAACAACAACAACAACAACAACAACAACAACAACACGATTATATATCAAGACTCCCGCCCGCTACCGCAACCAACCAACCAACCAAACTAACCCATTTTGATCAAGCAAAAAGCTTCAAACCGCTGCCGTGCTTGCCAACCTCGCACACCTCGCACACCTTGCAGACGGTGCCCTTGTACTTGGTGTGGTACTTGGACCCGTCAAACGCGCACTCCTCATACGAGGTGCCGCTGTAGATGGGCGTGTAGCTCGCCGCGCAAATCTCAAACTCGGCAAATTGATCAAACTCAATCTCCACCGCGTCGTGAGGGTTGCGCTCGCAGGTGGCCTTGTTTCTCCGGGCCTATTTGTGTCATGTTAGCACCTAGTTATCACATGTTAGAGATAGGAGAACTTACAGCTTCCAAAAGCTTGGCCAAAGCGCCGCCAGCATCACCGTTGGAGATTATCCTGTTAGCAAAGCTCAACGCGCTGCTGTAGTTCTTGCTGCGCATCGACTGAGTCATGGCATTAGACAGAGCCAACTGGCGATGAGCCACCTCAATCTTGGGAATGGTAAAGTAAGCGGCAAGCTCCAAGTTCCGCTTCAGGAGCTCGGGGTTGGCCAGGATGGCCTCTGGTGTGCCAAGAGACCTGCGCTCAAGCTCAATCGACATGGCGAGGGTGTACTCGGCAGCAGCAGTAATGACCTTCTTGGCCTCCGCAACCTCGTCCTCCGAGCCAACCGCGTTGACAAGCAGCGAGTGCAGGATGTTCTTGAAGATAGTCACACCCTCTTCCAGCTTGTTGGTCTTCATGCACTTGTAACCGCGGTGAAGATCATGCTCGGCAAGGTACTCCAGATCCCTGGGGATGACGGGAAGTACCTTTCTAAGATCAGCCTCCTCTACCGTGCGGCGAACATAGTTGACCAATGGGGGAAGGCCGGCCGACGCAGGGAGATATGTCTTGGAAGCCTGGTATACTTCCAAGAACCGGGACTTGAGAGGAGCAAAGTTGACGGCACCAACCTGACGGTTGAGCAGTTGCATCGCAGACTCAAACGAGCCACCGGCAGCATGGTCAACAGCCAAAGGTGAGTTGCGAGCCCAGAGATCAGCCTCGCTGCTGCCAGCACCACCAGCCTCAGCGATGTTGACATCGGTCAGGCCCTCCTCAATCTCTGGCACAACGTCATCACCCATGTCCCATCCGCCAGCATCCTCCTCCTCCTCATCGGCGTCTCCAAGGAGGTCGCGCTTAGCACCATCCTCCTGAACTTCGGCGTCAACACCATTGACCGCCGCTGACTCGTCTTCTAATGAAAGACCCTCCATCTGGCCAAGCAGCGCCTTCTCGAAGAAGGATTGCGATGTGGCCTTTGTTGGCCAGTTGGCCTTGTATGTAGGAACAACGGGCTTGGGAGGCGTGAGAGGCTCGCCAAAGGTGGGGAGGTTGAGCTCGTCTTCTGTGAGACCGGCAGCCTCCAAGATCGACTGGCACTCCTCCTCCAGACCGTGGGCCTTGGCTGTAGCGTAGGCCAGAGGATAGAGATCGATCTCCTTGAACATCTGGATTCTGTCCTCAACCTCACCAAGATAGAGGGCGTTTTGGAATCTAGAGCCAAAGTCTCCGCGGTGCTCAGCAATCTTGGCCATCCTAGTCAGCTTGGCCTCGTCACCGGTTGTGAGATATAGGAAGGAGAGCTTGTCGAACTGCTTGAGCTTCTGATAGCACATCTCAACAATGGAGTGGTTCCCGTGAGCAAGGGCCTCGGCGCTCAATCTCGTCCACAATTTTGGCCTGTCCAGCTGCTTGGCCATCTCAACAGCCACCTCAAGGTTTCCGCACTCAATCGCAAGCTCGAAGCGGGTGGTGGGGTCTTGCACGAACTGAAGGGCAATCTCTGGGTAGCCCTTCTTTTGCAGGTACGAAATAATGGATTGGCCGACCAAGCTGGAGTTCTGAATGATGTGCAGCATCTCCTCGTAGTTTCTCTTGACAAGGGCAAGCTTGAAGCGGTACTCGGTAGGGTCAATCTGGAGGATTCTGGGCTTCGCAGCACGATCCAAGCAGTAGACGTTACGGCCCTTGACCCTCACAAGATAGACAGTCTGATCAAGAGTGCGGACGATACCATTGTCGCCGTTCAACAGCGTGTACTTCACGTGGTTAAGGGTGGAATACAACAAGACGCCGGCGTCGTCCCAGGTGGCGCTCTTGATGCGGATCGTTTCGTGGAGCGTGCTGACCTGCTCAAGGGTCTTGGTCACAATGGTGACATTGTGCTTGCTGAGGAGAGCGGCATAGAGGCCATCGTTGGACCAGACGACGTACTTGACACCATTTACGGCGAGCTCGGCAGTGGTCTTCTTCTGCTGAACATCGTAAAGGTGTACTGCCGTGGGGGTGATGATGAGAAGGTTACCCGTGCCGCCGAAGTAGATGTCGCTAGTGCCAAGAGGGGGCTTGAAGGACCGGGTAACGTTGTTCTGAAGGTCCTTGATATCGATGGTTTGGGCAGCGGTGTTCAGGACGGCAAAGCGGTTGCGGGCAACAAAGATGGCCGAGTTACCAAAGCCCCGCTTGGACTCGGTTGGCTCAATGGCGCCGGTACCATCACGGGGAAGGTTGATGAGCTCATAAGAGCCGCCGTCCGCTGGGGATGTGACAAGAACCGAACGCTCAGCAGGGTTGTAAGACAGCGTCCTTGGGGGAACCCAGGGGCTGCCCAGCTTCTTGAGAGACAGCAGAGTTGGGGACTCGACGTTCTTTTGCAGGTCGTATGACTTGACATGCTTCTCCTTGGTGATATAGAAGAGCTGGTTTTGGTAAACAGCCGACGCGGGTCTCTCGCGCTCCAACTTGAACACCATTACACCATTATCGTGTCCAGCAGCGAAAAGGTTGATCTCGGGATGCGCGGCGATGACCCAGAATCTGTCGTTTTCTCTCTTGAACGTGTGTACCGCCGTACGCTTGTTCAGATCCCAAACACGAATCGTCTTATCCTCGCCGGCCGAAAGAATGAGGTCCTGGTGAGGGTGGAACAAGCACCCACTGGCGTTCTGGAAATGCCCGCGGCAAGTATCGACCTCCCACGCCTTGGTTTCGCTCATGCGCCACAACTTGATGAGACGATCGTCGCCCGCCGACACTATCAGGGGCATGGTAGGGTGGAACGAGACCCAGTTAACGCCTCTATCGTGACCCTCGAGAACGAACTTGACGACGGCATCGGTGTTTCCAAACATATCGGCTTGTTGTTGGTTGGCCTGGTTCATTTGACTTTCGTAGATGGACGCAGGGGCGGAGTGTTTCTTGCGCAAGCCGGAGACTAGGCAGCATTGTCAGTACCTGCCAGGCAGTGTCTAGACCCAAAGTTCACCTACTATCCCAAACACGAACAGTCTGATCGAGCGAGGCGGACACGACGAGGTCGGCATCCTTGGGGTGGAATTGGGCACACATGACATAGTGGTTGTGGCCCGTCATGGTGCAAACTGTCCTTCTCCGTCAGCAAGAATTCCAAGCCCACCCTGTAGTTCCAAGCACACATACGCAGGGAGCGGTTCTGCCAGTTCCATATCCGAATCGTCTGATCGTCAGAGGCGCTGACAATCCAAGGGAGCTCGTTGTGGAAGAAGACGGTTCGAATGTAGTCCAAGTGACCGTTCAGGGTGAACAGACACCTCCTGGTCTGGTAAGACCAGACCTTGATCTTGTAGTCGTCACCACCCGAGACGAACAGGGGCTACCGCAGAATCAGCAAGCTGTCCACCTTATCTACTAACCGAATCCCAGCCATTCCTCACCTGCGTCTTGTGGAAGTCGACACCGCGGACGGGGCCATCGTGCTCTTCGAATCGGTCAATCAGTGTGCCCATACGGTAGTCCCAAAGCTGAATGGTCGAGGAGTGAAGCGAGACGAGGATCCATGGTCTGGTAGGGTCAGTGTCAGCGTGGCCGTGAAATGGCGGGGAAGCTCTGGAGCTGCGAACCGTTTGGGATGGAATGCGATTCCCTTTGCGCGCGACGACTTGGACTCGAACTAGAAAAAGTGTCAACACCAACACCAATGCAGCCAGATGTGGTGAAGGTATACCTTTGTGAGCATGCCCGAAGCGGACTGCATCTTGGCTGGTGGAGGATACCTAGGCCCAGGCACCTGGCATCAAATGGGGGAGGGGGGGCGGTATCGAAGGGGTTCGTAGCTTCGTAATGAGGGAGTATCGACGATTAATAAAAATGCCGATGCCCGCTCGTAGCAAAAGAGAGATTAGATAGTGAGCAGCGCCTGGGGTAAGTAATGGCGGCGTGTCGTGTATCTTGAGGGAGATGGTGGTGGTGTGTCCGAGGAACTGGGGCCGCTGCTGTTGTTGTCCAGATGTCCACGCCGTCCCCATCAAATCATAGGAGACCCGTGGCATCTCATTCAATTGTGGGTTCCACTGCTGCACAAGGGGGGGAGCTGGCTGCAGCCTCAGGCACAAAACGCACATTCAATTTTCCGGGCCCACCCTGGCTTTTTTGGTAGAGAGCACCAGCCACATGCTACTAAAGTGCCAACCTTTTTCTAACGTTAGCGTGGCTTTGCCCCCTTAGCTCTAGCGGGAGCTAGTCCGGATTGGTTAAGCTCCCCATTGGTGATGTGTCCAGAATTGACAGCTGAGAGCTTCAGCACTTACAGCGGTTGGCCCACCATATGAAGTGGTGATAGCGACGAAGTGTAGGCATAAGAGACAAGGTCTTGACATCGTCTCCTACTTGCTGTATAGGGACAAGCTTCTTATCCAATTCTACTATTTTTCCTTTCACTTTGGGTTAACCCAACGAATTGTTCACCTGCTCCTGACGCCAGCGTGGCATTTAAGCCGAGGCGCATGTCCGCTGGCGGATACTTCCAGACTTGACGCAATCTCCAGTACCACGAAATCCAGACCTTTGGGCAACCATATCTTCGGCACATAGAAACAGCGCGCCCACAGGCCAACTGTCGATATGCTTCGACTTTCACAACTACCATTAGGTCTTGCTGCCATCCTCGCAACATGCTTGTCCCCAGCCCATGTCGGGGCATCCCCGTCGGTGAATGTTGCGCTGAAGGCGGCCTTCCCTGCCCCTCCATATCTGGTTGAACTGCTGTACGTTGTCCATACGAATTGGTAAAACCCAAGAGGCAAAGGAAGAGCTAACACGAACCAGAGAAACGGCAGCTTCCGACAATGCGACAGCTTACTTTGCCCTCCTCGATCGTGTCGCAAAGGGCGACTTTGTGGAGGCCACGACGGACAAGACGCTGTACGAGAAGTTCGTGGAAGTACTCCAGGATGATGGACACATGGATGCGGAAGCTCTCTCGACCTTCAAGCTGGCCTTGTCCATGAGAACTGCCGCCCCTCGAATTGAGGCGCATTACCAATACTATTCGACAGCCGTGGAACCATCGCTGGCCGAAGATCAGGTTGGCTGCGTTCAGTGGTATCTTCTTGATGGGAAGCAATACTGCACTCCTTCTTTGGACAAGGCGCACGCCGATGTGAAGCAGAGCAGTCAGGAAAGGACGTTGCCATTTGATCACAAATTCGGCGCCGGTGCCAAGGACATTATTCTGTATGCCGATATCACTTCATCAAGTTTTGGCAAATTCCACGAGACAGCCAAAGAGATCGCGCAAAAGGGAGAGGGTTCATACCGCATCAGGTACAAGAGAAGCGCTGCGCACCCAGAGGAGACTCTCTCCGTTAACGGCTACGGAGTTGCCCTCACCCTCAAGAGAACTGATTACATTGTCATCGACGACAGAGACACAGGCGCCGCGAAGGCCCAAGACGAGGCGCAAAAACCCATTGGAGCTTCCGATGTGGTCCTGGATGACGAGGAAGAGATTACTGATATCAAGCCATTGGAGAAGTCTGAGCTTACTCCTCTCGCCATGAAGGCTGCTTCTTTTATCATGAAAAGTGACTCGCCTTTCGAAACGCTCCTCAAGCTCACCCAAGATTTCCCCAAATACTCGACCTCGCTTGGCGCACATAACGTTTCCGAGGAGTTTGAGGAGGAGCATCGTCTCAACCGCCAGGTCTTGGCCCCTGAGGGTGTCAACGTCTTGTGGATGAACGGTGTTCAACTGATTGATCGTCAGATTCAGCCATTTGGACTGGTCGATCTTCTGACCCGTGAGCGCAAGCTAATTCACGGCGTTTTGGATCTTGGCTTGACCGGAGAACAAGCCGTGTCTCTGCTTGGTCATAGCGAAATTGCCCAGGCCAAATCGGCAGATGATGAACCTCGCAGGTTCGACTGGCGGGACAAGATCGAGGATGGTGAGGTTATCGTCTGGCTTAACAACATCGAAAAGGACAAAAGATACCAGGAGTTCTCGCCAAGCATTTGGACCATTCTTCAGAGCTTCGGTGGACTACCTCAAGTGCGAAAGAACATGTTCAACTTGGTTGCCCCGGTCGACTTGACAAAGCCTGAGGACGTCACCGTCATTGTTGAGCAGCTCCTCGTGTTCATGAAGCGACTGATTCCCGTCCGGTTTGGTTTTGTCCCCCTCACCCCCACCGGAGAAGCCATTGACCAAGCCAAGGTGGTCTACTACCTGCTTGATACCTATGGTCTCTCTGCTACCGTTGCTTACCTGGAGAACTCTCTCGAGTCAAAGAAGACGTCCAAGGCCGATGAGGGAGTCTTTAAGCAGGCTATCAAGGACCGCAAGCCGAAGGAAGACGCTACAGTCTTGGCTTTCAAGGACATCTTCACCTCGGAGCACCATGAAAAACAAATCCATCTTGCCAAGCATTGGGTTGAAAGACTCCGCGCTGACACTGAAGTCCCTCCTGTTTTCTTTAACGGCTTCCCCATTCCGAGAGAAGAGAACTGGCTTAGAGCCATGAACCAAAAGCTGGGCGCCGAGCTGCAGGAGATTCAGCAGGGTGTGTACTTTGGTCAGATTGGAGATGAGACAAACATCGAGGCCCAGTTCGCTGAAAAGGCCATCGCTCGCCGCAACACTTTTATTTACCCTGAGGATGCCCGTGATATCACCATTCTCAACTTCAACAAGGTCTACACCGAGAATGCCTACCTCTTTGACAAGATGCCTGTTGTTGAGGCAGACAAGGACTCAACCAAGGAAGACTGGGCTGCGCTGACGGTCATCACTGACTTGAGTACCCCCGATGGTCAAAAGCTGGCGTACTTTGCCCTCAAGTTCCGCAAGGATAGCCCGGGCGTCAGGATTGATATCGTCCATAACCCCAAGGATACCAGCCAGTCGGCATCTGCCCTCACTCTTCATATCAAGAAGCAGGAGGACAGTCTAGCGACTGTCAACACCCTGTTGGATCTTGAAACCGTCCTTGATAATGTGTCAGCAGAGGCTGATCGTGAACTCGATGCTGCTCTGGCCAGCTTCTTGTCTAGCGTCAACCTCAAGGCAGGCAACAGCGCTCTTATCCTCAACGGCCGCCTTGTAGGCCCTATCCCCTCTGCCGAGGACTTCAAACCTGAAGACTTGGAGACCTTCCTTGAGACGGAGCGTGCCCAGCGCATCGTTCCTGTTCACAAGGCGATCGAGGATCTTGGCCTCGGTGATAAGATTTCTGGTCCTTTGGATGCCGCCAAGTTGACCTCAGTCACTGCTCTCTCGGGTATTTCTGATCTCCCACAGGGCATCTTTGACTCTGCGCCATCTGTGAGAATCAGTCAGTTCAGCGAATTCAAGAAGGAATACACGTCATTCGAGGTTGGTGACGCTTCCAAGGCCACCATTTTCTTCACTGCCATCATCAATCCCGCTAGCGAGGGTGGACAAAAGTGGGCTGCTATCCTCAAGGTTCTTTCCGAGTTGGAGGGCGTGCATCTTCGGGTGTTCCTCAACCCCACCGAGAATGTTCAAGAGCTGCCCATCAAGAGATTCTACCGTTATGTTCTCAACTCTGCTCCCACCTTCGACCAGGATGGAAAGGTTGCGTCCCTGTCAGCCAACTTTGCTGGTGTTCCTCAGGATACCTTGTTTGTTGCCGGCATGGATGTTCCTCCTGCTTGGCTCGTTACCTCCAAGGTCTCGGTTGACGACTTGGACAACCTTCGTATTAAGGATATCAAAGCCAAGCGTGGCACCGAGCATGTCGAAGCTATCTACGAACTCGAAAACATTCTCATCGAAGGCCACTCCCGCGAGATGCCCAGCGGCGCACCCCCCAAGGGCGCCCAACTCGTCCTCGGAACCGAAAGCAACCCCCACATCGCCGACACCATCATCATGGCTAACCTCGGCTTCTTCCAGTTCAAAGCCAACCCCGGCGTGTACAACCTCAAGCTCAAGGAAGGCCGCTCCTCAGACATCTTCACCATGGTCAGCGTAGGAGCCCAAGGCTGGGCCCTCGCTCCCGGCGACGAAAACGCCGAGGTCACCCTCATGGACTTCCAAGGCACAACCCTCTACCCCCGTCTAACCCGCAACCCAGGCATGGAAGGCGAGGACGTTCTCGAGCCCACCGACCCCGAACCCGCCCCCTCAGGATCAGCAATGGACTACCTCAACAAAGGCCTCAAGTTCGCCGAAGGCATCCTGGGCAAGTCAAAGCCTGCAACCAAGTCCCTCAGCGAGACCGAGCACGCGGAGATCAACATTTTTTCGGTTGCCTCGGGCCACTTGTATGAGCGTATGCTCAACATCATGATGGTCAGCGTGATGCGGCACACGAATCACACTGTCAAGTTTTGGTTCATTGAGCAATTCCTCTCGCCTTCCTTCAAGGACTTTATTCCCGTGCTTGCGGAACAGTACGGGTTCAAGTACGAGATGGTGACGTACAAATGGCCTCACTGGCTACGTCAGCAAAAGGAGAAGCAGCGCGAGATTTGGGGGTATAAAATCTTGTTTCTTGACGTTTTGTTTCCGTTGTCGTTGGATAAAGTCATTTTTGTCGACGCGGATCAGATCGTCCGCACCGATCTGTACGACCTTGTCCAACTCGACCTCGAGGGTAAACCCTACGGCTTCACGCCCATGTGCGACTCCCGCACCGAGATGGAGGGGTTCCGTTTCTGGAAGACGGGGTACTGGGCCAATTATCTGAGGGGACTGCCGTATCATATCTCGGCTCTTTACGTCGTGGATCTCAAGAAGTTTAGGGAGATTGCTGCGGGGGATAGGCTGAGGCAGCAGTACCACTCTTTGAGCGCTGACCCCAACTCGCTGGCGAATCTGGATCAGGATCTGCCTAATCACATGCAGTTCCAGATTCCGATCTTTAGCCTGCCGCAGGAGTGGCTTTGGTGCGAGACTTGGTGCAGCGATGAGACGCTGGGCGACGCGAGGACGATTGATTTGTGTAATAACCCGCAGACGAAGGAGCCGAAGCTGGAGAGGGCTAGGAGGCAGGTGCCCGAGTGGACAGAGTATGATGAAGAGATTGCTGAGTTGGCGAGGAGGAACAGGGAGGGGAAGGAGAAGAAGGTGAAGGGGGCGAATACTAAGAGTAGGAGGTTTGAGGAGGAGACAAAGGGGCATGTGGTTGATGAGTTGTAGATGTGGGAGATGTATACGTATATAAAGAAACATGGGGGATGTAGTTGTTGAGGTTAACAAAGTTTATTTGTGTTGCAAAATGGAAAGCATATAGTACTGTCCCTTATCGTCTCTCATGTCTTTTGGCTCCAAGTCATGCGACATACGCTGTGGCTAATAAATGACCTCTCTAACTCCTTCGCCGAGCAATGCATCCAACACCAAAATACCAACACTAGCAACGCAGTCCCTCCCCTGTTAACATCATCAATAGGAAAATACTCCATCCCGCTTCCAGCAAGGCCGTTTCCACACCATAACCCATCACAACTCCTGCCACCCCCATTTAATGAGAAATGTACTGAAACACCGCACTCACCTCCCTCTCCCCCATCTCCTGCCTCAGCAACAAATCTTGTATCCCCTTCAACCCCTCATTCACAAAATGATTCCACGTACTCGTATCACCATACAACATGGCCGGCGCCTTGATAAACTGCTTCCCATCTGGCTTGCACCTCTTGCACTTGAACGTATCATGCGTATCGCTCTTCGTATCAGGCCGATACTGGAACAGCTCCCTCAAGCTGTCCAAGCTAAAATGCCTCTCCACATCCTCCGCCGAGTCCACCACACACGAACTCAAACTCTGCTTGTGCGACTGACGCTGAAAGATCTTTTCCTCGATTGTTCCCGTGGCAATGAACCGGTAGACGAAACAATCCTTCTTCTGGCCATCACGCCAGACACGAGCGAGAGCTTGCTGGTCAGCGGCAGGGTTCCAATCGGGGTCGAAGAGGACGAGGCGATTGGCGCCGATGAGGTTGAGACCGCAGCCACCTGCCTTGCTGGAAAGGAGGAAGACGAATTCGTCGCCGTTGGGGTCGTTGAACTTGTCGACGAGCTTCTGGCGCTTGTTAACCAGCATTTTACCGTCGAGACGGAGGCAGGGGTAGGCGCGGCTGCGGCAGAGCTTCTCGAAGAGGTCGAGGGTTTGGGTGTAATTGCTGATGAGGACAATCTTGTCGTTTGTGTCGGCGCGGATGCGGGCCAGCATACGGTCGAGGACTTGCATCTTGCCCGAGTACCATGGCTTGATGTCGCGATCGCGGCCACGAGAGTCCCTGGGGACATAGTCATCGGGGTAATGTTGTTCAGAGCCGGGCAGATCATCGGGGAGCTTGAGAAGATCTGGGTGATTGCATAGGTTCTTGAGAATACCAATGGCCTTGAGTGGCTGGGAGCCTTTGCCACGGAGAAGGGCTTGGATGTCTGGCGAGGTGAGGAAGTAGTTGTAGAGGTCGAGCTGGAAGGGGGCCAGGTTGCAGAAGACGACGTGTTCGTACTTGATGGGCAAGTACTTGGACAGCAGATCGTTGGTACGGCGAATGACGAACTTGTTGACGATGGTGGCCAGCTCGGCAAGACATTCATCACCGCGTTTCCTCTCAGCCTCAGAGGCCATGGAATCACGGCCACGGAGAATGGGAATCTCGAAGCGTTTGCGGAACTCGAGGTGTGTACCCAATAGATCCGGGTTGGCGAAGCTGATGAGTGAAAAGTACTCGGACAAATCGTTTTGAATGGGTGTACCAGAGAGAATGACGCGACGCTTGACATTGAGGCCGTTCAGGGCAGTGAATAACTTGTTGTCGTTGTTCTTCAGACGGTGACCTTCGTCGCAGAGAATCAGTCCGATCTCTGTGTTTCTGAGCTCTTCGCAGTTCAGACGGAGGGTCTCATATGAGACGATGATGATGGGTCTCGTGACGGCTCGTCCGGTTGCAATGGCCCACTGGCGAAGCTGTCGGGTCAGTTCCTCTTTTGAAGCCTTGCCGTCAATAGCGAAAGGCGTCGTAGCATCCGGACCCAGCCACTTGACCAACTCGTTGGCCCAGTTGCGCACCAGACTTGCTGGGCAGGCAACAATAGCTTTCTGGATTGTTGTCTTGCCAGCATCAGGAGACTGCTTGAGCAGTGTCCACAGCAGTGTGATGCATTGTAGCGTTTTGCCAAGACCCATTTCATCGGCCATGATACACCCATGTGCCTTTTCATCCACCATGCCCGTCACACACTTGTACATAAACTTGACACCTTCAATCTGATGTGGGCGGAGAATCTTGGCAAGCTTTGGATCGATGACCACCGGTACCCTTGGGTGCTCTCCAACAACCTTCTTCTTGATCCCCAAGATCTCGGCGAGACTCTTGTGCTCTAAGGGCTCAACGATCTTTTCCTCCTCGACCTTTTCCTCTGGCTTAGGCGCATCCTTTGGCTTGTCGTCAACTGTTGGATCATACAGGACAATGGCGAACTCGCCACTTGGATCGTGCAGAGGCTTTGCGACAAATACAGCTCCTTGTCTTAAGCCAAGTGTTGGTGGGGGGCGATTGGGGTTGTAGGCAGCGCTATCTTTGTTCAGGAGAGGAACCGAAAAGGCTTTGCGAAACACTGTGGTCTTGTCTTTTGGCTGGAATACTGGGAACTTGTTGGCGTCGCGATTCGCCAGGGCTAGCCGGTCGGCATTTGTGTAGGGCTTGTCGGCATCCGGATCAACGTCTCCATCTGTGCCTTTGTAGTCGATTCTCCGCTTCTTGCGAGCCGGGCGGTCGGTAGCAACGGTGCGAGTGGCCGACCCTGGGCATTTGAACGGCGTCCGGAGGCGGTCGAGTGATTGTGGTGTGGGGAATTTGCTTCGGGGAGCACCGACGTTCTCCTTGTTCGCGGCGGGGGTGTTTGGTATCCTGTGATGGTCATTAGTCGCGGTTCAGAGACCAATTGACTGCCAGGAAGTACGTACATCCTGTTAGCTTGGGTGGGCAGAAACTGTGCAGCTCTTCGTGTGAGATTTTTCCAATTGGTAAAATCTGGAGAAAGCTCACAAAAGGCGCAAGCTCTGGGAGGAAACGGTTTTGATGTAGGCGGCGAGAAACGTGCCAGTGTTGGAAAGTTTGGCACGGATTGGTAATAATGTTGACTTTAGGCAGCGCGTCGCCATGGTGGGGCGTGTCTTGCTGGCGCGAGGTCAGATGACTGTGCCAAGAAGCTTCTTGCACCCAACCATGCATTATGTAATCTCATCAACAAAGTCACGATAGAAGTAACGTATATTATAAGCGAGTGACCCATATAAGCGAGTGATTCACTTCCCACCACACCGTAACAAACTATCCCCAATTATACTACAACAATACTAGGAAGCAACTACAATTATATTAGAAACGGCTGAATCAGATGATTCCCCAGCCTCCTGGCAAGTGCGCGCGTTATAGCCAGGCTTGCCGCACACACTACAGCACCGAACCCTCGCACGATCTCCCCCTACATTACTACTATCCGGCTACGTTTTTTGCACTTCCTCCCTATCCACGGCCTTCTAATCTAGTAGATCCTGTGCCTCTTATATAGTAAGTGACCCTCTAAACCTTATACGTATTTTTTTAGCTTTCCGGCGCTTTGTGACGAACCCCTGTACAGAACCTCTGAAAGGGATACTGGTTAAAGGCCACTTCTGACAATTGGTTCGGTGCAGCTAAATAGTGCACAACAAGATGTCTCAATGTAAACACAAGATACCGTGAATATAAGCTTGAATTACATACTACGGAACTGTCTATCTACACCAGCCAGTTCTTCCGTATATATAGACCTAGTGCCAAGCCTGGCACTGTCCTGGATCGATAGACTCGACCATCGATCCTATCGATACTATCCCTTTTGGGATTAACTCCCCTAGATCGATCCTCGATTCCATTAATCCTATTCTAATTAGTCCGTAGTACGCCCCTCGCCCCACTAAGTATCATTAGTCCGTAGTACGCCCCGCGCCCTACTAAGTATTAAGCCGTAATACAACGCTCCCCCTCCTAGGCCGAAGTCCCGTCGGCCTAACTTATTTTCCTATATTTATTATAATCTAGGAATTCTTTCCTTCTCTCTATTCCTTATACTTTATTATATTTCACCGCGTAAATAAGGCGCGACCCGGTATTCAACTTTTATATTTAAAAATAGTGGATCGTAACGAGCTACTTACTATTATTTTACGGTTTACCTTTATTATAAAACGTATTTATTTCTTTTATAAAAAATATAGTTTTTTTTATAAAATTTCCTCTTTCGTTTCTAAGTATTACGCTTTTTATATATAATATAATTAATTCCTCTACGATACTCGTAAGTTATTCGTTTAATAGCTCCGTAAAATTATTTTTTAATATAATTAACTAGAAATTAAAATAATAAAAATTAAGTTCTAGCGCGCGGTTTTAGATTAGAAAATTAATTATTTACGTTTATAAAAACGAATATAATTTAAGCGAATAGCTACGGCCGTTTTCCGTAACTTTAATAATATTAAAAAATTAAAGCGTATTAAATAGGAGGAAATTACGTTAACTGTATAAACTACTTCGTTATTTAGCATCGCTTTTACTTTTTTAGATCCTTAGAATTATCCTACTATAGAATTTTTTATTATCGTTCTTTCCGATATTTTTTTCTTAGATCCTTCCTTAAGTTTTAATTAGCCTCCCGATTTTCCTTTAAACCTTAATATAGCCGGTCCTTCCTTCTTAACTTCGTAGGGTACCGCTAATAGCACGCTTTTTACTCTCTAAAGTAATTAAAACGAAAAGTATTATTTATATTTAAGTTTTTTTATACTTTTTA